TTTTAGTTGTGTAAGATAAATATTTTATAGTTAATGATGAGTTAAGTTGTTTCTTTCAAAAACGTTGTCTTTGGTGACGTATTTCTTCCCTGGGGGCGCAAGAATCTTAGCCCAAAGACTCTCGTTAAACGTTGTACTTGTTCAGTTAGCTCCTCTTCTTACAAGAGATAGGAAGATTCTGGGCGCAACACTCCAGCACCGTGCGCACTGTACGGATCGTGCTTCTGGTCCCGCCGTCCCAGTACAGATTTATTTATTTTTATTTTTTGTCCTGGAACAGATTGTGCAGTGACACTCACAACCAGGCTATGTATGAAATATTATTTAGCTGTCAGACAGCAGCGCATTTAAAAGAGGCGCAGCATTAATTTTGATCAGGCAGATAGTTGGGAGACCCGGCGCGGCATTCGGCGCTGGATTTGTTTATGCCGGCCGGGGTCCTGTGTAGACAGGAGAGAGGACTGGTCTGAAGGCGACGTGGAAAATTCTAATGGCAGTCATCATTAATGTGCCTTATTTACTGTGTTTACACAGGTAAGGAATGAGTTAATAAAGCAGACAGTCGTGAGCATGAGTGAGCGAACTGATGAGTCTGTGATGCGTGCATGTGTGTGGAATGTCTTGAACATATATATTTTGGTATATATCTATTTTGGAGTTATACCCTCCCAGTGGAAATTCCACCAGTTGCCACTGGTTAAATGTAGGGCAGACAGTTAAAGTTTCCAGTTTCATTCTGTGTTTTTCTGCATGATGTTTGATTTTCTGATGCATTTACACTGTGTTTGTTCAAAGCTGCTTCCAGATGCTTCCCGTGCAAATATCATTTATTTATCTGAAGAAAAATTCAGCTTTTATTGCCGGATACATGACTTAGATCACTTCCTGTTTTCCAGAACATTTGTCTTGGGACTAACCTCCCCCACACTGGGAAGTTGAGCAGGCAAACAATAAGTTTTGTGCATGAACCATGACCCCAATCTGACTGATATTTGATGAACAGTTATGAAAGTAAAGTTACAAAAGAATTTCGATGACTACCTTCAAACTCTTTGCTCCACTTCCCTCTCCAGCGCTCTGTCTGGCTCTGTGTGTCACGGGGAGCTGCAGGGTCTAGCTGACCGGGTGGTGAACTGCCAGGAAGTCCTCAGCGCCATCAACCTTTTGGTCCTGCAGGTCAGCTGCTTTCCGTACACCCTGCAGACCCGCCAGTCCCGCATCAGCATCCACAATGAAATTCACTGGCCTTCCAGTGAGACTCTGGTGAGCATTTTATAGCAACAAAAATGTTAAAATGTCACAAAACATGTCAAAAAGCTAGATTTTTTTTTTAGATACATTTGTTTGGTTGTTGCTTTTCTGCAGCCTATTTTTAATAACTGTAGCTGAGCAGCTCCACCTGCTGAGCTAAAAATTAAATTACACCTAGATGAAAAATTAGTACAAGACTTTGGGAACTACACTACAAGCCAGTGATGCTTAAAGCTCAGTTTTAACATAAATAACACTGACATTAAGGGTCAAAATAACAGAAACAATAAAATATATATTTATTTTTGTGTCTTATTACCATGTGCTTTACTTGCTGCCAGTACGGTGATTGCATAATCGGGGAGACTTTGTGCTGGGTTAACCCATGTTGGTTTGATTATTACATTCCAGCAGAGGGAGCAGTCCCCTGATGATTTGGTCTACTTTGGCCTGAGGGACTACAGCAGCTCCCTGCAGTGGGGTGTGGCCAGCCCCATCCTGCGCTGTGACGATGCATTTGAGAAGATGGTTCACACTCTGCTGGAGAGGTTTGAATCAAGTACAAAAGTAACTTTAACTTCCTTTTTAAAGCAGACATTATAATCAGTCCAACTTGTGTATGCCAGACATCCCCACCTCCACAGCATGGTGATCCGCAGCTATCTGCTGATACAGCAGTACACAGAGGCCATGATGGCTCTGACCTCTTCCCCATCCCTGAGGGACCACATAACCCCGGAGACCTTGGCCATGGTTGAAGACCTGATCAGCGCGCCAAGCCGAGAGGGCTCCCATGGCCGTGGCCACATGCTGCTGGTCCGTGTCCCCTCCCTTCAGCTGGCGATGCTGGCGCGAGAGAGATTAGAGGATGTGAGGGACAAGCTGGGCCTCCAGCTGTGCTTCGCCGTACTGCTGGGAAGTCCTGCGTCTGAACTCAACCTGTCCAAAAACTTCATCAGCCTTCTCAAGGTGAGAGTAATGACCCATTAGAGACACATATATGGCAAAAAAAATTCTTATTTATTATATATCATGGATTTTTTTTGTCTTAAATGACATATTATTTTTAAAAAGACATTATTTAAAAGCTGTTTTTTTTGTGCTGCAGATGTGGCGCAGCTGTGAGAATGAAGAGTGGGTGCCACACACATATGAGGATCTGGAAGGGTTGCCCTGTATCATCATTCTCACAGGAAAAGATCCTCTAGGAGAAACTTTCCCCAGGTAATCCCACGTTTTATAAACTTGGCTTCGAAATGTCCAAGATATTGTCACTGCGCCACAGTTTCCTTTAAAAACGAATAAACAAATTGTTTTCATGTTTTACTCTTGGTGAATTGAATGAGCACAATTTTCTACTGATTTAAACTGACTGCAGCATACGTCCAAGATTCTATTATTCTCTTAAGAAGACCTATTACACTGATTTATAAAATTTGGAAAAAAACATAAACAGTCTTTACATTTGTGCTCTTTCAGGTCTCTGAAATACACTGACCTGCGTCTGATAGACTCCAGCTACCTGACTCGGACAGCCCTGGAGCAGGAGGTGGGTCTGGCCTGCACCTATGTGTCTATGGGTGTGGTCCAAGAGTCCAGGATGGCCACGGCTCCTCGGGAGTCAGATGGTGAGAAGAGCGCCATCAGCCTGAATGATGGAGACGAGCTGGAGAGGCCTCAGAGCAACGGCAGCGCAGCAACCAGAACATCTGGTGAGTCTTTATGAAATACTGGAATGTCAGTGTATCGATGTACTGTATACTTGAAACAACTAGTAGTAGTGCTACATATATTGAATTTTATAGATTTAGCTTTCTTATTTAATTCTTTGCATATCTTGACTCAGGCTCCCTGGCTGAGAACGGCGTCAGCTCATCAGACGTCGCAGATTCTTTCCAGAAGCCCTCCACTTCCAGCTCCCAACTCGACGCTTCCGTGACCTCGGATATCGGCACAGTAACCGAAGGAATCAAGCAGGAGTGCGACTCTCCGGGAAGCCAGCTCCCCTCCAACCCTCCTAAAGTCTCCAACCCCGCTCCATCTCTTTACTCCAGCTCCTCGTCGTCTTCCCCTTCCACCTCCTCCTCCTCCACCCAGAGGCCCAGCCAGTCCACGCAGTGTGCACGAGCGTCCAAGTCCTCTAGGGTGTCCCCTCGGACGGTCATCTTGTCACGAGCGGCGTACAACCTGCTGGCAGGGGAGTCAGGGAGTCAGCTGAGCTCGTTCTCACTGCTGGCTCATGCGGATGTAGCCTGGAGCAGTCCGCTGAGACCCCCGATCACTCACAACCTGCAGGGGGCAGAGCAGAGCACGTACTACCGCCAGTGGACTGTTGCCAGGCAACATCACGCTGACTATGAAGCCACACCTGAGCCACATCCACGTCGCCTGCTGCTCAGCGGACCCCCACAGGTACAAAAACACATGTATGCTCCCTGCACTAAAACATAGAGGAAGTATCACAGTTTTAGTCAGAGCACATAAAAAGTACTGCAAATATTTTTTCATTCATTCAACCTTTATTTAGACAGGTAAATCCCATTGAGCCTCATTTGAGAGAGCCTCAACCCCATTGAGAAAATATGTTGTATAAAATAATAATAATACGTATAATAACATTAATATATGAAGCTAGATGCTGTTTTAACAAACATAAAGAACATTAACAATAAACTAAATGTAAATGAATATGATTTTACTATTAAATTAATCAATTATAGAATATTAATTGGTTATTTTATATTCATATTATTTTATTTTTAGGGTTAGAAAGATAATAGACTATCTTTTTTAATTTAAAGCTGTAAAAAAATGTATTTTTATGTGACTGTTCTTGTAGTGCTGCAAATAATTTTATTTTACTTTCTGCTAGGTGGGAAAAACAGGAGCCTACCTGCAGTTTCTGCGCATCCTGTTTCGAATGCTCATAAGACTGCTGGAGGTGGATGTGTATGATGAGGAAGAAGTCGACGAGGAAGGTGAGGATTATTGGATCTTATTTGGAGAACACTATTTTTTGTTGAATATGATGTATATTTGTAAAAAAAAAAGTACTTTTTTGTACCGCTGTTCTTAATTGAAAATTTGAACCATCACGCCATCCTAAATTTTCAAATCATTGCAGGTTTTTCGCAATAAATTTGACACCCGAATAATTTTTCAGGTTAATGCTTATCATTTTGGTCACATAACTAAGTATATAAATGGGCTGTGGTGTTTTAGTGGTCGGTGTCGTCCTCTTGTGATTCTGAGGCTGCAAGTTGGAGCTCAGGTTGAGTCTAGAAGGGCATCCAGCGTCAAACAATTATATAAATCTTGCATACAACTTTGCTAACTGTGGCGTCCCATGCAGAATGGAGTAGCTGATAGAAAAAATACACTGAGTAATTACCGTATTTTCTGCTGTACATGTCACACCGCCATATGAGTCGCATCAGTCCAAATATGTCTAATAAAGTGGAAAAAAAAATAAATATGTCGCTTCGTCGTATAAGTCACATCTATTATGCGTCACCGCTGACCACCCAGAAATGTGAACCAGTGTTGTGCCAAAAAATTGTTTGGCTGTCAAATGGCAGCCGCAGAAGCCTGCACGGGAGGACTTAGCAAGAATTTAACAAGCTTAACACTTAAAAACAAATATTTGTTTGCTCAACATTATAGCAAAGATGTGTTTCAGTTTTTTTCCTTAATAAATGCACTTTAATGGTCAAATCAGCTGCATTTCACCTGGGTGGCGCGGTGAAATGCAGCTGATTTGACATTTGCTCCAGGAGTTCTGTAGCGAGACGAAGGTGACTTTGTATGGCAAGCCAATTGTCTCATTAATAGCCACTTTTACCTATTATTGAGACACTTGACTTGCCATTTAACTCGAGGGCCCTCTAGCGGCTGAAAATGGTAATGTTCAATATCCCCATGCATGCTCAGTAATCCAGGTAGAAAAATCTAAAAAAGTTAAATCTGGTCCTCTGGACATTCAAAAAAAAAAATTGTAGAAATGTTTCATGTTTCATCCGAAAGACTTCCTCAGTCTGAGGTAATGTTCAATATTTTCCATGTCAGAATGAATTAAATCGTCAGATCTCAGCCAAAAATTGGGTTATAAATATGAGGGGGAAAAAATTATATTAGTTGCTTAGGTGTATAAGTTACAGGACTTGCAAATGTATGCAAAAAGGTGCGACTTATACAGCGAAAAATACGGTAAACATATCCCCTCATCACTACCAGCACAGAAGGTCACTGTGATACAGTAATGGTAAACCAACAACCTGTTTGAAAAGTTTTTGAAGAAATTTCTGACAAGAAACATTTTTTTATTTGCACTTACACTTTCTTTCTTATCCACTCATGCTCTGGCTTTTTGGGAAACAATTCAATTCATTTTATTTATATAGCACCAAGTCACAACAGAAGTCGTCTCAGGGCACTGTGAAACTTAAAAGTAGCATTCCTTAAAGTAATGCAAACTTCCTACTGCGTCATTTTCCAAAGTTTTAAACAAAGATTTGATGTAATTTCATTAGGGAGTGGAGTATGTGGTGAGGACTAGGCTCAGCTACTCCCACACCAACCTTTAGCTCAATTTCTGTCAAACGGACAGTCTTTGACATGTTTTGGTTTGCTAGGGTTGATTAGCCGTGACTACCATGATGAATAATGTTAACTCCAAAAGTTATTCAGTTAAGCGTTCATAATACAAAACCCTGACAATATTGTCGGAGGACAAGGTGCTGTTGCTCCTGCAGGTAAGGGGCGTTTACCTTTGGGACAAATGGTCGCCGATTTGCCAGTTGCTGATGAGCGTACTGCGTTAAATCATAGATTTTACTGGCCCGTTTAAGAGTGTTATCATTTTTTCCACATTTATTTCAAATTTATTAAATAGTTCAGTGAATGTAAGATTTGAGATCTAAGCTTCCTTACAAATTCCTAATCATGGTTTCTTAATTCTTCAAGGGTGCCGAGTTAAAATTTAGGGGTGCTTGAGCACCCTCAAAAAGAGGATAAAATTGCCACTGTCAGCCAGTGTTTTAAGATATTTTGCTAACAGACAGATGATTACACATTGTTCATAGTGTCAAGCATTAAAGATTTATTTAAACATATTATGTATAATCTTTGGGATGCTGACAAAATTTTGCTCTTTTTATTCCATTTGTAACTTGCAGAAACTTCAGAGGTTACAACCGTGGTGAATTCCCAGTGGCCTGACATTGAGGATGTTCGAAAGCTGCCCTTTGACTCCAATCCCCGGGAGCCCAAGTTCAGGAATGCCAGCCCTGTTTACACTGACAAGATGCCAAAGTGCTTGAAAGGTCATAAAAATATGCAAGCAAACCACATATCCCCTCTCAGCGTTAAATAACTACAGCTTCACTTACTCAGATGCTGACTTAAATGCATCTACTTAATCTTTTTACAGAGGTAAAGCAAGAAGAGAGCCAAACTCAAGTCAAACGAGTGACCAAGTCCATACGGCTCAGTAGGTTTGCTGCCCACAATGCCTTTCATCACTGTGAACAGTGTCACCACTACTGTGAGGCTGTTCCTGCAACACAGGTAAGACTCATGCTCACATCAGACATCTGAGGCTTTCAGCTTTCAACTCTGTCTTATTACATACTAACAAATGCACATATCCCATCCTGCTATGTTTTTTGTCCATTAATAGCTTGAAAGCTTTTTTTTTCCTCTCCTGGGGACGTCTGTCTAGGCTTAATGATTGCATGTGTGTGTTGTAGCTGTCGGAGTGCTCCTTACATACTTTCACCTTCTGCTCGTCCATGCTGGGGGAAGAGGTCCAACTACAGTTTTTCATTCCTAAAGCCAAGGAGGAGCACTTTGTATTCAGCCATGAAGGCAGCCACCTGGAGAGCTTACGTCTGCCTCTGGTCTCTACAAAGGTCAGATTACTCGGCACGTGTTGGTTTTATGTTTTGTAAATTAGTAGATTGTGCATCTTTCAGTTCACGTTCACAGACAGGCAGATACCGAAGATATTTATGTAGCTGCCAAGCAAAATTATTTATATGATAGGACATAATATTATTACTCAAATATGTACAAACGCAATATCAAAAAAGTCAGGACAATGTGTAAAACGTGAGTTGAAACAAAATGCAGTGATTTGCAAATTTCATAAACACAAATTTGATCCCTAAATGGAACATAATAAATATTAAAAACAAGGCAACTTTGAATATTACAATACCAACACATCTCAAAATGGAAAAGATAGTGCCATTTTTACCACTGTGAAACATCCCCTCTATTTTTAACAACATGATGTATATGTTTAGGAACTGAGGGGACCAGTTGCACCAGTTGGACTCGGACTCTAATGAAGCCATCCTGTTGTATTGACAGCAGTATGCAGTTTGTCTTGCTGAAATATGCAAGACCTTCCTCTTTATTTTCTGTATGGGAGCGTATGTTGTTCTAAAACTTGTATATACTTTTCTGCATTACTGGTGCCTTTCCAAATATGTAAGCTGCCTGTGCAATAAACACTAATGCACCTCCATACCATCAGCAAGGCAGAATTTTGTACTCTGTGCTGATAACAAGCCAGATAGTCCTTCTGCTCTTTAGTACAGCAGACATGCGTCTGTGGTTTCCAAAAACAATTTCAAATTTTGATTCATCTGACAACAGATTTTAAAAACAACAGAATTTAAAATGAACTTTGGCCATAGAAGACCATGGTAATTTAGGATGGTGTTCACATATAGGGCTTATTCTTTGTATAATAGAGGTTTAACCCTTCTTTTGTGGATTGCACAGCAAACTGTGTTTAAAGACAATGATTTGTGGTAGTGTTCTTAAATCCATATAGTGATGTCCAGAACAGAATCGAACTTGTTTTGGTTACAGTGCTCCATGAGGTCCCAAAGATCACCAACATCCATTATTGACTTTCGGCCTTATCATTTGCCCATAGAGATTTCTCCAGATTCTTGAAATTTTTTGATGGAATTTAATGAACTGTTCATGATTTCAATCTTTCCTCAATTTTCTATTAAGTAACTTTAAACTGAAATATTTTAACTAATTTTGTTGCATTTTCTTGCAGACTGGTGAACGTATAGTGAGCTTTATTTTTGAGAGATTCAGCCTCTCTAAAATGCTCTTTTCTTCTCCAGTTCCCTCATTGATCTGCTATTGAGATGTGTTGCTGCCATAAAATAAAAATATATTTTCCCTAAAATTGTACTTTTTTATTTAAACAGGTGACATGTTTATATTGGTTTATGAGATTTGCAAATAATTGCATTAAGATAAGATAAGGTAAGATAAGATAAGATAAAACTTTATTGATCTCGCAGGAAATTGTTGTGCCAGAGTTTCAGTACAAAGGAACATACACAAGGAATCACTCAAGATATAAAAAAAATAATAGAGAATATAAAAAACTACAGAGAATATAAAAATGCCAACAATTAAGTTCTAAAACAGGTCAGGTACAGACAGAAACAAAGTGTTTATTGTATTGCAGGATTAATACAGTATTATTGTCCTATGTGTAGAAAAGGGGAGGAATTGAAAAGTTTGATATCCTCAGGCAGAAAGGACTTCCGGTGGCGTTCTGTGGAGCACCGCGGTGGGCTCAGTCTATGGCTGAAGGTGCTGCAGTAAGAGTCCAGTGTGGCATACAGGGGGTGTGAATCATATGCCTGAACCACATCAACAGCAGCTTTTCAATTCCAACCCCCCTCTGGATAGCAGAGCTTTTTACTCTGTCACTAAAGCTGAGCCTGGTCACTCTGCAAATATAGCTTATTTTGGCTGCTTATATCTGGGATCTCATTCTTTCGATCATGATCCAAACATCATGACCTTAGGTGAGTGTTGGAACGTAGAAAGATGAGTAAATTGAGAGCTTTTCCTTTCAATTCAGCTCTTTTTTCTCCATGACTGACCAAAGCAGCCTTCTTTATTGAGGACGAGGGACCAATCCGTCAGTCAGTTTCCCGCTCCACTCTACCATCACTTGTGAACAAAATGCCCAGATACTTGAATTTCTCCACCCAAGGCAGTCTCCCCGCTACCCTGATGGGGCATTCCATCCATTTCCAGTCGAGAACCATGGCCTCAAGCTTAGAGGAACTGATTCTCATTCCAGCTGTTTCACACTCTGTTACGAACCGTCACAGTGCATGCTGAAGGTCTTGGCCTGAAGATGCTAGCAGAACCACATCATCTGCATAAAGCAGAGATGAGACTCTGAGGTTCCCAAACCAGATACCCTCCTCTCCATGACTGTGTCTCAAGATCCTGTCCATAAACACCACAAACAGAATCAGAGACAAGTGACAGCCCTGGTGGATTCCAACCCATACTTACAATGAGCTTGACTGTGGGCCAAGAATGCGGACACAGCTCCTGCTTCACTTATACAAGGACCAGATAGCCCTTAAAAGCAACTCAAGCGCCCCATATTCCCACAGCACCCCTCACAGAATACCTCTAGGACCATGGTCATAAGCTTTCTCTAGATCCGCAAACCACATGTAGACTGGAGAAGGGAACTCACACGACATCCTTAGCAACTCTGCAAGGATGAAGATCTGGTTCACTATTCTATGACCATGACAGCAACACTGCTCCTCCTAAATGCAAGGTTTGACAATTGGTCAGAGCCTCTCTTCCAACACTCTGGAGTAAATTTTTCCGGGATGGGAGAGAAGTGTGATCTCTGGATAGTTGGAACACACTCTCTGGTCCCCCTTTTTAAAAATGGGAACCACCACCTCGGTCTGCCACTCCACAGGCATTGTTCCAATCCTCCATGCGATATTGACGAGACATTTCAACTATGACAGCTCCACAACATGAAGAGCCTTAAGCATTTCAAGGTGAATCTCATTCACCCCTGGTGCCTTGCCACAGAGGAGCTTTTTGATTACTTTGGTGACCTCTGCAATGGTAATGGACTTCACTCGAGTCCTCAGACTCTGCCTCCTCAAAGGTGGATGTGGTGAGTGGAGTACAGCACAGCCTGGGATAGGGTCTATTTTGGTTTGCCAGAACTTCCTCTAGGCAGATAGAAAGTTATTCTCAATGGCTTCTCCAAATTCTTCCCATGCCCAAGTTTTTGCCTCTGCGCCCACCAAAGCTGCAGACCTTCTGGTCACCCTGTATATGTCAGCTGCTTCAGGAGTCCTCTGGTATAATGCAAGTCCTGAAGGCCTCCTTCTTGATATGGATGGACTCCATCATCACTGGTGTCCACCAGCGAGTCCTTTGGTTGCCACCTTGACAGGCACCAATGATCTTCAGACCACAGCTCCTGAAAGCTGCATCTGCAATAGAGGCCCTGAACATAGCCCATTCAGTTTTCATTTTCCCATTTTCCCTTGGGACATGTGAAAAACTCTGAGGTGTAAGCTGAAAGTCGCATACATGAAGGACTCCACCAGATGTTCCCCGTTCACCCTCATTATGCATTTAGGTTTACCAGGTCTGTCCGGCAGCCTCCCTCACCACTGGATCCAACTCGCCACCAGGTGGTGATCAGTTGACTGCTCTGCCCCTCGCTTCACCTGAGTGTACAAGATGTAGGGCTGTAGGTCCGATAACATGATTACAAAATCAATAATCACCCTTTGGCCTAAGGTGACCAGGTACCAAGTACATTAATGCACCACCCTATGCTCAAACATGGTGTTCGTTATGGACAACCCATGCCTAGCACCGGAGTCCAATACGTGAGTACCAGTCAGGTTCAGATCAGGAAGGTTGTTCCTCCCAGTCATCCTCTTCCAGATGGCTCCATCCTTCCCACATAGACATTGGTCACCCAGTAGAACGAGGGAATCCCCAGATGGCATTCTTTCTAGGACACCATCCAGAAACTCTAGGAAGACTGAGCAATCTGAACTGATGTTTGGTGCATAAGCACACACAACAGTCAGAACTTTCCCTTCTGCAGCCCAAAACTGCAGAAAGGCAACTTCACCAGGGAAAACTCCAACACCAAAGCATTTAGCTGAGGGCTTGTGAGTATCCCCACACCCGCCCAACGCCTCTCTCCCTTGGCATCTCTGGATTAGGAGAGAGTCCAGCCTTACTCCAGGAGTTGGGTTCCAGAGCCCAAGCTGTATGTAGTTGTGAGCCCAACTGTATCTACTGCTATTGTTGGTACCACTCAACCTCACACACAAGCTCTGGCTCCTTACCCTCCTTTATCAGAATTGGTATTGTACATGCATTTGTAGGTGTATATTTAACCCTTTTTGTTCTCATTATTTGGTGCCGCTGTGGCTGAGTGGTTAGAGCAGTCAACCTCCAATGGGAAAGTTGGGGGTTCAATTCCACCGCTACCCAGTCACAAGTTGAAGTGTGCCTGGACAAGACACTGAACCCCTCATTGCTTCCGATGTGTGGCCCATTGGTACATGAATATGATCTAAAGCACTGATTAGTCTCTATAAAATGATTTGTTTGATTATCTTGGTAGAGATGTAGTAGAGTTTTATATGAATGTGTGTGTGGATGGGTAAATGAGGGCACAGACTGTGTTGCAAAGTGCTTTGAGTATCTTGATTAGATAAAAAGGTGCTATATAAGTGCAGTCCATTTACCATTTACCATCTTATTTCCATACAGGACACTGACTTATTGAAGAGTCCGATTTTCACCCCAACAACAGGACGTCAAGAGCATGGCCTGCTTAACCTTTTCCACACCATGGAGGGTGCCTCTCATCTGCACATCCTAGTGGTCAAACAGTTTGAGATGCCCCATTACAGGAAGTACTGGCCCAATCACATCCTGCTTGTCCTGCCCGCCATGTTTAACAACGCTGGAGTTGGTGAGCACCAAGTCACAGTTTATTTCTATGGCCAATAACCACAAGGAACCACACAAATATACACAAATACAGACATCTTATTAACACATTCTTCCATATTCATTAAAAAAGAAAGAAAAAAAAGAAATTCAATATAAAAATAATGCAATCACTTTATTAAAAGGGGAATAAAAGAAGCGTAACAGCTTAACAGAACTCAGTTGCCATATTTTTGCTGAGTTTGAAACAAAATGGATGTTGAGGTCAAGCTAATTTAATAAATCAATAAAATTTAAAACGGTATGGGTGCTCAGACTTCCTCTTGCTTAAGTTGTCAGCCTTTCAGTCTGCTGATTGCAGCTAGTGAGCCAACTGGTCATTAGTTATTATAGTCATGACATGCTACTTGCTTGTTGAAGGTGAAAGGTAAAGACTCCTCTTATCCAATGTGAGAGAGGCATCGGGGATGAAAACATCAACACTATAATAGGGTGATTTGAAAGGCAGCCAGTCAGGTGTGTGGCCAGTCTAAAATAGGTGTTAAAGCTTAGCTGTACTTTGAAAAATGACAGCAGTGTTGCCTTGACCCTTGATCTTGATGTGGCTTTCTGCCAATATTATGGTTCAGAAATAAAACATGGTACTGCATGAACAACATAATTTTTGTGCAGTCTCATAAACAGCATTACTTCCTGCCTTGTCCAGATTGAAAACTTTTACTTTTAAATTTCTCTTTTCCATGCTTCCACACTGTAGGGGTCAAAACATTTAAAAGAGAAAAAAAAATGACAAATCCTCTGTTTAAGGAGCTGCCCGCTTCATGATCAAAGAGCTGTCATACCACAACCTGGAGCTGGAGAGAAACCGACTGGAGGAGCAAGGTATCAGGAGACAGGATGTATGGCCTTTTATTGTCATGATGGACGACTCCTGCGTGCTGTGGAACACCCACCATTCTGCAGATGGGAGGTAGGAAGGGAGCTGATATGACCCTAAAGGGGTTGTCTGGTTATGTTTGAAGTTATGTTCTGTCAAATTGTTATCAATAGTTAATACCTTATCAGCTGTGATATCAGTCTTGGAATGTTTTTCTGGCTTGTAAAACAACTTTTTCTCAAAAATAACATAACCGTGTGAAAGATTGCTACATTAGCTAAGCTAACATAATCTAGCTTTACATTAGCACTTTGGTAAGACAACATTTGTTTAGCTCGTTGCTGTTTTCTTCACACAACACTAGGCTCTTTAGCAAGACACCTCTGTTCGAGACTGAGATGTTTTCAGGCCACCTCTGTGTGACTTCTGCATAGACCAAGGTGGCGAGAGGAGTTGAAGCCAGCTCACCCCTGGTGCCCCTCTGTGCCACAGAGTGAGGTAGTAACAGAGGCAAAACAGTCACCCAATTGTGTGATGAACTGATGGCAATAGTGTGTAACCGCCTAGTCATAAAATTAGACTACAGCAAACTTTATTACCAAGGGAATATTACTGATGATTCACAGCATCTTCATAGTTAGGTTAAAATAATAGTTAACCACAAAGAGGGTTGCTAAACTGAGGTACTCCATTATGTTTTGTAAATATGAGGGAGAGGTCTGACACACATTTAATGTGTTGCGCTCTACTTCAACCCAACTGAGTTCTGCTTTATGTCATTTTTGGTTATGCCCACTTCATTTCTGATCACCCAGTTCAGTGCAGGGAGTTTTTGACTTCATCCGTGATTTATGAACAGACAAAATCAAGATAAAGACGGACTGGTATGTGCGGCCATTTTGTGTAAATGTGTTTTGAAAGATCTGTTCATGTTACTATGTATGAGGACCCTCTGGAATAGATACCATATGTCATGTACTGTATATGACAATTGTGCTGAGGCTGTGCATATATCTGTCTACAAGATCAGCAGGTCCAATTGTTTACTTCACTCCTGGTGGACTCAAACATTTAGAAGCCTTGGCTAACGAGGTTTCACTAGCAAATGTAGAGTTTTTTTCACACCGGTTTGTTGCATTTGAGAAAGAGTTTTAAAAGCCTGAAAAACAATAAAAACCTGGCACTCGTTTGGCTAGCCATGAGCCTAGCCTGGACGAAGACTTCAGCTCTTTGACTGATGTCAAGGTATTAACTATTGATAGCTGTACGATAGAATATCACTTTTAGGTATAGAAACTTTTCAACTAGTGCTAGTAAGCCATTTTCTCTGTTGAATCTATGGTTTTAGTGATACATCAGACGGAAGCTCAACTCTCTCCAACGTGTCTCTGAAAACGGTGCTGCAGCACATGGAAAACACACCAAAGATCTCCCTGTATGCAATATGTGGTATTCGTAAGTGGTGCAGCAGCCTTGGGCGCAAGTCTCCTGGAAACCCCTTCAGTCGATGCCACCTCCACGACTTCGTCCTGCTTAATGTGGACCTTACACAGAATGTTCAGTATGATCTTAATCGGTACGTTCATAGACAATACTGTCTGCCGGTAAGTTAGGGATCCGTGTAGTGTTCTTTAATATTGGTTGTCCTGTGTAGGTATGGCTGTGAGGAGGTGGACTTTAATCTGAGGGTAAATAGCAGTGGATTGCTGCTGTGCCGCTTCAACAACTTCTGCCTGATGAAGAAACACATTCCAGTTGGAGGAAACAAAGACTTTGTGGTCAAACCTAAACTTGTGGTGGGTGTCATAGTCACACTACATTACAACTTTATCACATAAGGAAACCAATTTTCTTTTTTTTAAGTCTAAACATAATCCAACACTGACCTGCTTCCTTGACTTTTCAGGAAATAGAAAATCAGGCTTCAATCAGCCCATCGCAGCATGTTTGCGCCCCAGACAGCGAGCAGACCCTCCTAGATGCTCCAGCCCAGTTTCTGCTGGAAAGTTTCCTACAGAGCTGCAGCCACAGATTGTTTCCAAAGGCTGTTCAGAACAGAAACAACCCAGTTCTGTCCATCGACAGCTACCTCAACCTTAGCCCAGAGGTAAGATCTCCCACATGCTGAGCTCCATTCGTTTACCTAAGCTTACAAAAGAAAAACATCACAACGATTATTATGGATACAAGCACCCATAGTAAAATTATACTGTAAAAGTTAGGGATGCACGATATTGGACTTTAACCAATACCAATACCAATCATTCTTTTCCTAGACCTACTTACAGAGACTACATAGCTTTCTCTGCTGTGGAATTAAAATATTACATTATTCTGCATGGTCTTTGTCAGTTTGGCCTTCTACCAAATGCAGATGTCAAAAAGGGGGCTGAAAATAATGTAACACTTCAACGTGGATTATGTTTAATGTCAAATTTATTCATGACAGTTACTCTCTCTAACACAATGACAACATTCGAACAGAGCAAATTTTTAAATTTTCACAAATCTAACTCAAACTGTTCACAAGTGAAAAGTGCATAAGTAGTAGTGCATTACTAGATATACTTGACAGTTTTGTAAATTAAAAAAAATCTTAAAACAGAAGCCTTTTATATCGGTGAGTTTTTTTGATGGAATGGCCGATGTCCGATATTTAACTTTATCGCTAATATCGGCCGATACCATGCCAATACTATCGTGCATTCCTAGTAAAAGTGATGAATGTTAAATACCATAAAATATGTCTAAAATCACAGTATTTGCTTTCTGCATTGCTAAGAACATTTTCACGTTCTTGCATGCACACATGTAGAATATAAACGTCAACATTTTGCATAAGATCATGGTTGTGTCAGAACACACTGTACGCATAGGTAGAAATATGTTTTGTCTTATCAGACACCATATCCTATAAATATGCTTGTTCATGGGAATCCAAAATCTTCCCACAGAGAAGGGCTCTTTTTTTTTTTTCTACATTTAATTAAAAAAAAGCACTTCATGTTCTCATTATCCTTCTTACGTGCCGTGGATAAAGTGTCATCTTTTGTCGCAGATTTCTGTGTGCTACATCAACTCTCGTCCACACTCCACCAACCTTAACCACCAGGGTTTGGTGTTCAGTGGCCTTCTGCTTTACCTCTGTGACTCCTTCGTTGTCTCTGGACTCCTCAAGAGGTTCCGCTTTCTGAAAGGTGATGCATGTGTATGCAGTTTTTATGTTAAACCAGAAACTGCCACATTAGGTCCAGTTTTGACCCCAGCTCTTCCCACACAGGCGCCACCCTCTGCGTGATCTGTCAGGACCGAAGTTCCCTGCGTCAGACCATCGTCCGACTGGAGCTGGAGGACGAGTGGCAGTTCCGCCTTCGGGACGAGTTTCAGACGGCCAACTGCAGCGAGGATCGACCCCTCTACTTTTTGACTGGTCGACACGTTTGAACCGGTTCTGCTGGGGGAAAAAACACAATCAGATGTAGCTAGATCTGATTCTGAACAATCCAGCAATGAAAAATCCTTCTGAGGCTGGTTGATGCTCCCAGTTTACTGCTGCAGCAGCACACTAGAGCCTCACTTGGAGTTGGTTCTTTCAACTCTTGCTTGCCACTTGACGTGTCCGATTGAGCTTGTTCTACCAAAAAAAAAGACTTCTGTGGGGGGAAAGCACAGCTGAGTTTGAGCTTTCTTTGTTTTGTTGTCAAACTTTGCAAAAATGGGTGCCCCTCCGATTGCTAACAGGACTGTTGGAGGATTTTGTGTGTCCACGAACTTTGAATCCTGTGTGTCCAAAACTGAACACACGTTTATCTCAGGGTTTCTCATAAAACGTTAAAAAAAAAAAAAAGATTTAAGGGATGTGTAGCTTAAAGGCGTTACATTTTTTTTTCTCCCTGCTCACAGTTTATGTTTGGCTCTAACTTACGATGGCACCAAAGACTCAGCTGCACCTTGCCTTCTGCTTCTGCTTTCATACTCGGCCTCCAAAACTCCATGAAGCTCATTAACTCACTACACTAAATTATGTTAACACAGAGAATGGCTTTTAGTCCATTCCCTCTGATAAACTATCAAATTCATTTCAGTAAGTAGCAACTATTTAATCTAGCACATTTAAACCTTTCGATTGTGCCTCCAGAATATTTGTGCCATTGATAATCTTTCTCTTGAGGAACCGTGTGAGAGTGGTTTGAGTTTCCAAACGACTGTGTCTTCATAGCTGAGGATGAGCTGTTTAAAGTTGGAACTTTTAAAGAATGTAAATCTTTAATGTAGTATTATGGTTTGAATATAAAGTCTGTTCGTTGTTTAAAAATCCTTGCTTGGACACAGACGCGCAATATTTTCTAAAACTCGTGCCTTAAAGGGACAGTTTTGATTTTTTGAACTGTGATTCTGTGAACAGATTATGGACAGTTATTATCTTACCTGCTGTAGATAGTTCTTTGAGCAGCCTCAGTTTGATTCTGGCTAGACTGAGGAGATAACGGCTAGACAGAATGGTTTGGCCTTGGCCTTGCTTAGACTAGCTCTTAGCTCAACAATAGGTCTGTACAAGGGGTCTGCAATCTTTACGATCCAAAGAGCCATTTCTGCCCCTTCGCTCGCTAAATTAAAATGTTTAGAGCCACACAACTTACCCCAACTATGGTATGATAATCGACTGGTGGCCTGTGGACCACTTTGTTTCTTGCAGGAGGCTTTTCAGGCCATTAGGATTGACAAAAATAAATAAAAATATCTAATGATTTTAAACAATCATTGATATTTTTACATTTTAAGACAAAGCAAAAGACAGCATTATTGTAAAGAAAGATTTATTTTTATAGTTTTTACCTATTAAAAATAATAATTTAACCAATGGTGGCACAAATTTCTGTTTACATAGCCAATATAAGTTTTTATTCATTCAAGGCAGTCAAACGTGTTCATAATATTATTACTAGTAAGACTGAGAGTTACCGGATCCAAGCATTTACCGGAACGCACCCTGTCAAAATAAGAGAGATCCCAGATCCTGTTCCGTCAGGATCCGGCTCAAATTGAGCCCTGTCACACAGTGATAGCTGAATTTGGGCACCAGTGACCCCTGTGACCTGAAAAGGAAGAAGCGGGTAAAATATAATGGATGGATAGATGGAAATTGAAACAATGAAATATGCAGGTCTAGTGCTTTTTTTTTTATTGTGGAAAAATTAAGTATCCTACTTTAAAGAAATAAAGCATAAAGTTAAAGTATGTTTTACTCCTTGTATTAGTACTAGTATTCACAAATTTGCAAAATAAATGACATGAAACTGTTAAAACTGGCAGTGGTTTGTCCGTTTTGGACAAACCTTGAAAGAGCCGCAGCAGAGGAACCAAAGAGCCGCATGTGGCTCCAGAGCCACAGGTTGCAGACTCCTGGTCTATACTGTATTTTTTTTTTAAAATGTGCAGTTGTTCAAAGAGCTGTTTACAACAGGTAAGATAATAATTACATTTTAAAAGATCTGAACTGTCCCTTTAGTGCCAATCAGAGCAACACAGACCTATATTTAAATGTGTTTTTGCATTTAGACATTTGCTGACCTCTCTGCTGCACAACCAGCAGATAAAATGTCACAATCAAGCTCCCTCACTGCCACTTATCTCACTATCTCACTGTGCCTGCAGGACGTCAGCTCATGTTTTGATGTTCTGAGGCTGATTGTACTTTGACTATCTCAGCTGCCATTAGTGTACCTTAAACTGCCCCCTCCCACCACCCAGACTGAAAGAAAGAGAAATCAAAAGAAAAACGTGACACACTGTCAAAAGCAGCTTGCCAGACCAGTTACATACTTGAAAGTATTTGTGTGTGCATGTGTGTGTGTGTGCGTGTGTGTGTTTCTCCACAGGGTTGTAAAAAGAATATGCCTTAAATGATGTTAACAGTCACAAATAACCTGTTTCAGACCAATGAGAATGAAAAATGTGAGGGAAATAACAGTAATTTTTTTCTGAATGAAGTGGGACTTATTGGGATATTGGACTGCTGTACTGTTTAAAGTTTGTTTACATTAATAATATATTTTAGCATCCCCTAAACTGATGGTTAAGGGTGTTTTTTTTGTTGTATTTTTTTTTTTTAGTCGTGTGTAACTTTTGCCAGTACATTTTGGTTGTGTCTTTCTCCATTTTATGTTGCAAAGGCAAGAAAAAAAAATCTACCTAGATATATCTTTAAACGTCTATATCCCTTTATGTTCTTAAGATTGAATTCCTTTTAAAATGAAAGTCAAGCCCATAAGGGATTTGTTTCTTATTTATCGGACTAACGATTTGAAGACATAATCATTTCGAAGTGTGGCGTTAGATTGCATGCAGAGGAGAGGAACTCCCTTCTCAGAAACAGTGACAAAGGCTTTGCACAAGATCCCAAACAGATTATTTTATTATTTTACATCCACTGAATGTCACTGAGGAGAGGAAATGTGAACTTGCACTATCCAAGTTACTGATTAATATAGGTGAAACAATTGCTCCCTCAGAAATAGTCCAAATAGAAAATCAGTGTCATTCTCTGTTGGTTCACAAAATGTTTTTTTTTTTTTTGTCTTTCTGAAAATGTAATACTTATTATGCAACTTGCTCTCACAATCTTCACTGAGATGTATTTGACATGTTTGTGCAGCTCCATGGTAGCCTCGGTGCCTGTTTTATCTACCTCATGTTTACCATTGTGGTCACTGGCTGTGAATAATATAAAAGTAGTCCGGCTATTGTTCTTGAAATTTTATGAATGTATTAAAATTAAGTTCTAAATCGTTTTTATTTCCTATTGCTTCTCTTTGTCACATGCTAATGTGTAAACAAGCACGCAGTAGTTGGATAATCAAAAGGAAAGCACTCAGTGGAAGTGAAAGATTATGCAAACTTGACTTTAGGCCTGTCGCGATAAACAAATCAATTAATCGCATGATAAATGAAAATTGTCAACCTCTTTCATTTATCGGCTTTATCCTTTCTTCGTGTCTCTCTCTTTCGACTGAAGACACTGGACGACAAAACGCTCAACTCCGGTGCTCTTCGCTGACCCCTCCCTTTCTCTTTTTTCTCTTTTCTTTAAAATCCATTTTAACCATCCAACATTGTGTTTTTGGACCTTTAAAAGCAGCTAAGCTACGAGCTAAGCTAACATGCTGACCTTGGGAAAAAAACTCAGTCTTGTCGAAGCTCCAAATTTCACGGTTGAAACCCGTGCCTTTGTGTAAAAAGTAGTTCTTCTCTGCAAAAAGAAGCTGAGAACTTGTTTACTGTTTTTTTAATTAAATGCTTTGTGTGAAAAATTCTATGCTAAAGAGCTCAAACCACACCGAGCATCCGCCATTTTGGGAACCAAAAAAAAAAGGAAAGAGAGACAGCCCATGTCACGTCAAGGTGTCTCCCTCCCATTTTTCTTAAAGAGCCACGCTGCTGTTCCCTCACTATCCATCCTTGGGTTCAACTAGTCTTATACTGCCATCCAGTGGTCAAAAAGGTACTAGACACAAAACTTAACCAACATTTTTTCTTAAATTTGACAATAATTACTAATTATTGTCAAATTTCAAATAATATTACCGTTTATCGCAATAATTTCTGAGACAATTATTCGCCCAGCAAAATGTATTCATCCATTTTCTTTCTTAATGCTGGATCTACCTAAACAAGAGACGAGGAACACCCAAAGCAGGTCGCACGTCCATCACAAGACCACATAGAAACAAACGAGATGAGTATTTTCACCTGGGCACAATTTAGAGTTACCAATTAACATAACGTGCATGTTTTTTTAATTTATTTAATTTTAATTTTTGGTGCAAACATGACTTTTGTATTCAAAATGTACAAGATGCCCAAACTTTTAGCGCCTTTGTGGAAGTTCACCTTTTTTAAGCAAAACTCACATTTGAAAAAAATTAAATTAAATTAACAAGTGTTTGAAAAAGCATTTAAAAATCTATAAATAAAACTATGTTCAACTCCAACTCCAATTCTGAAAATGCCTGGTGTTTGCTTAGAAGACGGAGAAGGAAGCTGTCAATCTGAAGACGGAGGCTTTTAGAGGTAGGTTGTTCTAGAAGTGTTCCTACATCGCTATAAAATTATTAGAAGGGCTGTGGCTGAGGAAGCAAAAGATAAACAAAAAAATCACACAATGAGCTGCTAATACTATCATTAGAAAGTTAAAAGTGTATTCAGAAAAAAACTCAGATAATAACAGCAGATGTGGTCCAACTTACGTCTGAATCAAAATATCTCCCAAATCAACAGATTCTATCAAATAAAAACACTTTCTTAGTTTTTCTTATTGAATCAGCAGAAACCACTTTTTAAACTCAGACATTAAAATTCTGAAGTGCTTTTTTTTTTTTTTTTTTTTTTGGAAGTTGGTTAACGTAAAGTTGAAAGAAGGTTTTAAAATGTGTGAGATGTTTAGTTTGTGATTATCAATACTTCCACATTCTTAGGCCCTCTATTCGAACTGGGATTGTCTGTTACAAAGCAAACCCCAGGTCCTTGCTTATTTCTATGGCACCATGTTGCTTTTCTTCTCTCAAACATCCGTTGACAAGATGCATCTATCCACAACGACCCCACTTGCATCTGTGAGGCACATGGGGCACCACTTCAGGTCCAGTGAGCCCACCTTTCATCTGCCTGCAGTATGACACAGACTATTTTGAGCCTGCTCTTGTCAGGACAGAATAAGAGAGAGAAGCAGATAACAAGTGCCTAACACTCTGATTTATGTGACTCATAGTTGCTCTTTGGAGACATTCTGAAAATTGTTTGCATAAAAAGCCCTAAACAAGTTGACCCTGAAAGATTTTTAGAGGTCACAAGTTCCAGTTGCCAAATGTGTGTTGACAAGCGTACCACATTATACGTCCGTCAACAATCTGTTAAACAGCAATCTACAACAATGACCCGGAGAAGCAAAGACCTTGTGTAACATTTGACCTTGATTTGTGACCTTGACCTTGGAGCTGATGCGATGAAACGTGGCACTCTATAGTTACATGGGATGCATATGAGTATGGTTTCATTAAATGATCTTGAGCAGATCAGAAGTTATTATCAGGAAAAGTGAAAGTATCCAGAGACTAAAATAAGACCACTTTCAAGACAAATGAAAAAAATTTGTGGTTTTGCCTTTGGTGGGCATTTTGCAGTATGCTTTTAATTTATATTTTCTAGATGGATTTTATATTTTGATTCACTATTTTAGGTTTTTTTTTTTTCTTCTTTCTGCGTGGAGCAGAGAGCTGCTGTCTGGGGCACCCGGGGGAGCAGATTTAAGGGCCTTGCTCAAGGGCCCAGAGTGGAACAAATGAGGGTGGAGGCAGGTGTGGGTGCTTCACCTGTCCCTCTCACATTTGTCAGTACAGGGAGTGGAACCAGCGCCCTTCCGATCACAGGCCCATTTTTTTTTTATTTTAGAAAATATCACTCTCGAATTGAGTGTAATTCCATTATTTAAACTTAAATAAATTGTTTTTCAGTACATTGCTATAAAGTGCATATCTATGAAGGTTTATTATTTATAACAAAACGTTTTCTGGCATTTAAAACAAATCAGTCAGAAACAAAAACCCTCATTGCTATCAAATTATTTTGAACCTTCCTGACCCTCGAGCTAAAACCAAAGTTCTGTTAATGGGCTCATTGTGGAGGGAAAGCAGGGCGTTGTTGGAGTGTAGGTGCAGTGAGATTACATTTAGCTTTGTGTGGCTAACATCCTCTATTTCAGTGATGCATAAAGGATCCTATCAGAGGCTAAGCCGAATGTGATGCCGGACAGCGTGCGAGCCAATCAGGCAGTAAGCCGCAACAAATGCACCTTGTTCACAGGACAGAAGTTTGAAAGTGACTCTTTGACACAAAGAAAATGCTAATTGGTATTTAAACACAAAATTGAACTTGACTTTTTGTTCCCCTAAAGAAACACTTACATAAAAAGAAATCTAAGTCAACTATTATGTTTGAAAAAATGCATTGTAAGCACTGGAAACATGAGACAAACAGCCTTAGCCTTTGTTTATTAATTTAATAAATACATCATATAACACTCATAGTGATGCCATCACATACTACACTGTAGACAGATTTTATACTTAAAATCTTATTGCTGCACAGGTGAAACTGTCAATTTTCTTTTTTTATGGAGCTTACAAAGTAAAATGCAGCAGAACATGGAAAAAATAAGCATGTCCTCTGTGCTACAGGTATCAAAGTCATGTTACGGTTTAGGACATGATGTCGATGAGACACCAATGGAAACTTTATCGAAACACTACATTACCACAGAAACAGGAAGTTGAAATTGCTCATGCAGTTTATTCATGAAACTCTGGATTGTGCTCGATTCTATCATGCCAACTCAATTGTGGTAGCCAGCCCGTTGATCATTGTTGGCAGAAACGAGCAAAAAAAACCCCAAAACAACAGGAAATCAGCTTTTTACTAAAAATACAGGCTATTCATCATATAAAGCAGCGTGCGCAGCTTCGGACAGCTAATGCACACACTCCGTCTTCTCGTACTACTTCATTTAAATCAGGCAATCAAGCTTCATACTCAGCCTTACAGCCTGAAGAATGCACTTCCATAGATCCAGTGAAGTTAGCGCCTTGCATTAAGGAATTAGAGGCATGATAACATCAACTAAAATAGTGCAATTTTACATTCCTTGTCAATGATAAACATGTATCCACATCATCCTTTTTTTAAAACTATTTGAGTGAGGATAAAATTAGTGAAAACAAAAGTGCATGCAGAATATCTATAATTAAAATAATGCGAGTTTAAAGTTGTCAAGTCTGACAACGAGTCTTGAAATCACTAAGAAATTGCTCTTTCGCTGTCACAATTTGATAATCTTACTGTTGTTTTAATTCCATGTGTTTTCGAGTTGAACAGGTGCTGATAGGCAGACTACTACTATCCTATTGAAAGTAGCTTCATAGTTTTAAAGAGCAAACAGAATCAGCCTTTTTAACTCTCTGAAAGAAAGCGCACAAGTATAATTCACACAGTTATCAAAATCAAGTAAAATGCAACACTATGTGTCAGCAGGGCAAATGAGAGAGGAGATAAATGAACTGTTGCAAAGGAAGATGGATGAAAAAATAAAAATAAACTCCCTGAGGGCTAAAATCCTACTTGTATAGGTGCTAAAACTACAGGACGTTTCATTAATAAAATGTGAATAGATTCTAATATACAGTACTTTTTTTTAGTAAAAAAAAAAAAAACGATTGCACAGAGTAATCACTGATTTCCAAAGTAGCTACCACATTTTCCAGTGTATAAGTCACATCAGTTTAAAAAAGCATCATGAAGAGGAAAAAAACATGTATAAGTTGCATTTATTATGAGTCACCTCTGACCCATCGTGTTTATTACGTGTTTATTTAATGGTCAAAACAGCTTCATTTCGCCTGGGTGGCGCGGCGCCATCCATCCATCCATTTATCCATCCATCCATCATGGCTGAAGCTGCTAGCTCTACAGCGTTCCTCCACCTGCACAGCTGAGTGAAGCGAGCGCATACGGGACGACTCGCTGTTGCAGTTTCTTAGAAATTTAAAGCATCGGTCAAAAATTGTGTTATGAATATGCAGAAAAAAAACGTATATAAGTCGATTCGGCATATAAGTCGCATGACTGACAAATCTATGCAACAAACTGTGACTTATACGCCAGAAAATACGGTAAATATTGTAGTACAGATTCATCTTCTCAGCACTAACATGAGCGGCTACACTTATTAAGAACATGATTACTGACATGGTAAATCTATTGAATAACTAAATAAATGTTGAACATAACATTTAGAAATATGCCCTTTAAATGAGTAAGAAAGGTTTTTTTTTTGTTTGTTTCAAGTGGCAGATGGTGCAGCGGGACAGATGTATGCAAGGCAAAGATTAAAAAAACAAGTCACTTCAAGGAAGAAAATCTGGTGAATGAGATATGGTATTGTTAAAAAAAAGAATGGACGTTAGAAATGATGAAATAGGTTACAGTAAAGGACAATGGTAGGAAGGTAGAAAAACAGGAATGGAAGTAGAAATGAAAGGAACAGTGAATGCAAAAAGATGGATGGTAAAGATGAAAGACAAGAAAGACAGAAAGAGGAAGTACATTAATGAATAAATGAATAATAAAGGAACACTTTGTGAAGTTCTATTATAAAGAGAGGTCATTGAGTCCACCGCCTTGTTCAATGACTGCCTTTGCGTACTGCTTGAAGACTCGGTCCATGTAAGTGCTCTGTCGTGGCCACAGGCCCTCCAGGAAACCAATGTGACCACCGTGACAGGTAATAAGCAAGGCCAGGTGAGGATTCTGCTTCACTGCCTCCACCGGAATGGCTGCAAACAAAAATAAGAAACAATTCCTGTTTTATTTGTGCTTTTGCCTCATAATGCTCAGTGAATGCATCAGTGAAAAAGAAAAAAGTCTGTTGCAGCAGATCAATGCTGCTGCACAATGCTAAGATGATTAACTCCCGATTGGCCACATTTATTACTGTAAGGCACATTGAGGAGAACAATGCTGCATTATGTTGGTAGTGCTGGTATGGGAACATATTTCACACTTAACACTGAATGCAGTCATTTAATTCCCTCTAAAACGTTCTTTCTTAGAACATTTGGAACACCTCAATTTAATGAGCACAGTACATTTTCCAAATATCTTTCTATGAGGATGTAATGCAACACTTTGGTCAATAAAACAGTTAAAGGATCCATATTCTATGGCCCAAATATTCTGCTCAACCTCAGAAAGTATTTCTAAATGCAACACAACGCAAAAGCAAACTAGAGAAATTATATTTTCTATGAAAATGCAGTTTGAATGCTGAATGACTTTGTTGATGAAGCTGAAATTGAGTTTTTTAAGCTAAAAGAAGCAGAACGCCAAAATCCAAAAAGAACAAATGTTAAGTAAAAGCAGCCGAAGGCTAGCTAATAGCTAAACATAGCAGAAAAGTAAGTGAAAACAAAAGTTTCCTTAAACAGATTTCAACGAGAAAAGTGTTTATGAATGAACCCGAAGAATCTCAATGTACAGTAGTCCCTCGCTACTTGGCGGTTCGTTTTTCATGGACTCGATCTATCGCAGTTTTGTTTAAGTACTGTACAGTACTGTACATGTACATAATATTTTCCTCCAAAAAATGTGCCGGCATGTTGTAGTTTTCTTTCATTAAGCCTTTACTCTTTTGCCAATCTAAAGAACTATGTTACCCAGAAGCCATCAGTTCACTTCCCAGAAGTCAACACTGCTCTTTCAACCACTGCTTGCTGCAAACGGAGGGAAAGTTTTGCAGTAAAGTCAGAAGTTCTGTAAGGATAAGTTCACAGGACTAGCAGGAAAGTCACAAGTATCTTCACTGCTGAGCAGCCGGGCTGCAGCTGATCCAGAATCAGTGTGACCCGGATCCTGGGAGTTGCAGATGACATACGGCTGCAGGGTTCAGTCAGGTTCTGGTCGTGTGGTGCTGGTCCGGACCGGGCCAGAGGTGGTGGACTAAATCCTGGGCAGCCCTGGAGCAGCAGCACACGCACATCAAGCTGGATGGGGCAGAGGGCTTCAGTCATGCTGTACCTGAACTTTTTCATCTATCGGGTCGGACCGGATCCGAGTCACTCCTGTACTGCAGAGCCTGGTAAATAACATTTTGTAGCTCCTGTACATATAAGTACTGTATGTTGTTAAAATTAGTAGGTTTAAGAGTTTAGAGGACTGATTTGTGAGCTTCATTGCTGCATGATAGGTCTGCAGAAACGAACCGAGTCGCAATAGAACAGAGTTGGACCGGAACCAGAGCTGTTGCTGTTCTGCAGAGCTAGTAACGTTAGTAACATACAGTACGTTGTTAAAATGATGTAGGTTTAAGAGTTTATAACATCCCAAAAGTGTGGAAAGGGTTTCTAAAGCCTTAATGTAAAGTTTACTGTACTTGAACTTAAACTTGAACTTGGACTACTGTATCCCTACTTCACGGTTTTTCACTTATTGCCGGGCTTCAGGGTACAGATCCACCACGATAAACAAGGGACTACTGTATTTCTATAAGAAAATATTTGTAAACAAAGTTTCCTATTTTGTTAAAAGAATAAACGAAAGACAACACACAGCACACATCCTAAATTTAATCATTCCATTTTGCATAGTACCAAAAACAATGAAACCACAATAAACTTTCTGAGAGCAGGAACCCACCGTGAGAAGGAGAAAAGACGTCATCAGCAGCGTTCAGACACAGCATTGGCACCTGCACAGACTCCAGCTTGTGAACAGGACTAGCGTCCCGGTAATAGTCATCGTTCGTGGGATAACCGAACATTATGGAGGTGAACCTTTCATCAAACTCTCGGATGGTCTTTGCCTGCGGGGACCCGTAAAATAATACATTAATTCAATCTGCTTTGAGATAATATTGTCAGTCAATGAAAATAATCCCTACCTTCATGACATGATCAATGTCATAACACTGTTCGAGCACCGGCCTGTGTCTTCAGAGGAGAAAATTGATACTGTCACTGACTGCTGTGATGTAAGCTGAGATATACATAACATCATTGTGAAAAGGGAAACTTTTTAGAAAAACTGTATATAGAGCATTTCAAAATAATTATATGAAAAATCTGTTTGTGAGCCGTGTTCTGCCAGCATGTAGGTGGATTTGTTAATCCCACTCTGGCCCTGGCTGACCTGTGCACAGAGGCTTGTAGGCAGCTGGTGAGGTAGGAGTTGAAAAGAAAACGGTCCAGAGGTTTTTCCAGCGATGCGGAGCACTCAAAGACATCCCAGCCTGCTGAGAAGACTATGACCCCTTTTAGACAGGTTTCCCGGCCCTTACGGCCCAAGTAGTTGGCCAGCATCATCCTGAATATGGAGAGAAGGACAGCTGAAGGGACGAGCGGGGAATCCATTTCAAACCAATCCCTCACTTCAGGGGATTAGTGTTGCGCAATGAAAAATCACACTGAACTGCTGGGACAGACTGACACTAAAATGATACTCGTGGAGTTGATTTTTATATCTGGTAACTGTAAAACGTAGCACTTTTTGAAAATTATCATTAGAATCTACTGAAATAGTTCCGTACCCTCCCATGGACACGCCAGCAGCCATGACTGGAGCAGCTCCACAGGCTTTCTGGATGTGCTCAATAACAGTCTCCAGGTCTTCTGTGTTGGCTGCGCAGTAAGTCCTCGGGGTCTGGGTAGGACAGCAAGACAGAATAATCAGATCAAAATTATAATCAAAATTCATTCAAGCTTTATTTATACAGGTTAGTCTCATTGAGTCACAAGGACTTATTTTCAAGAGAGACCTGTTTTAGACACACACAAAAAAAAAAACACAGATGAGGTGCACACAACAATAAACAATCATAAAAACATAAAATGAAAAGTAAATAAAAGTAGTGATATAAAACGAAACAAAAGCAATCTACATTATGAAATGGGGGTCAAATACTAAAAACTGGTACATGTCTGCATTGAGTTTTGCATTGAACTTAACACTTGATTAAAATCCCTTAGAGAAGTGAAAGTCGACAGCTTCATATATTTTTGTAAGGTGTTCCAGGATACAGGAGAGGAGTGGGAGAAGGCCCTTCTGCCTAGTTCAGTCTGTACTGATGGGACACTGCAGGTAATGGTGTCCTGAGAGCGCACACTGTAGTTGCACTGATAACGTGACATGTAGAGGGAGATATACAATACCTTGCGAAAGTATTCGGCCCCCTTGAACTTTTCAACCCTTTGCCACATTTCAGGCTTCAAACATAAAGATATAAAATTTTAATTTTTTGTGAAGAATCAACAACAAGTGGGACACAATTGTGAAGTGGAATGAAATTTATTGGATGTGTCAAACTTTTTTAACAAATAAAAAACTGAAAAGTGGGGCGTGCAATATTATTCGGTCCCTTTACTTTCAGTGCAGCAAACTCACTCCAGAAGTTCAGTGAGGATCTATGAATGATCCAATGTTGGCCCAAATGACTGATGATGATAAATAGAATCCACCTGTGTGTAATCAAGCCTCCGTATAAATGCACCTGCTCTGTGGTAGTCTCAGGGTTCTGTTCAAAGTGCAGAGAGCATCATGAAGACCAAGGAACACACCAAGCAGGTCCGAGATACTGTTGTGGAGAAGTTTAAAGCCGGATTTGGATACAAAAAGATTTCCCAAGCTTTAAACATCCCAAGGTGCAAGCAATCATATTGAAATGGAAGGAGTATCAGACCACTGCAAATCTACCAAGACCCGGCCGTCCCTCTAAACTTTCATCTGGAACAAGGAGAAGACTGATCAGAGATGCAGCCAAGAGGCCCATGATCACTCTGGATGAACTGCAGAGATCTGCAGCTGAGGTGGGAGAGTCTGTCCATAGGACAACAATCAGTCGTACACTGCACAAATCTGGCCTTTATGGAAGAGTGGCAAGAAGAAAGCCATTTCTCAAAGATATCCATAAAAAGTGTTGTTTAAAGTTTGTCACAAGCACCTGGGAGACGCACCAAACATGTGGAAGAAGGTGCTCTGGTCACATGAAACCAAAATCGAACTGTTTGGCCACAATGCAAAACGATATGTTTGACGTAAAAGCAACACAGCTCATCACCCTGAACACACCATCCCCACTGTCAAACATGGTGGTGGCAGCATCATGGTTTGGGCCTGCTTTTCGTCTGCAGGGACAGGGAAGATGGTCAGAATTGATGGGAAGATGGATGGGGCCAAATACAAGACCATTCTGGAAGAAAACCTGTTTGAGTCTGCAAGAGACCTGAGACTGGGACGGAGATTTATCTTCCAACAAAACAATGATCCAAAACATAAAGCCAAATCTACAATGGAATGGTTCACAAATAAACGTATCCAGGTGTTGGAATGGCCAAGTCAAAGTCCAGACCTGAATCCAATTGAGAATCTGTGGAAAGAGCTGAAGACTGCTGTTCACAAATGCTCTCCATCCAACCTCACTGAGTTTGAGCTGTTTTGCAAGAAAGAATGGGCAAGAATTTCAGTGTCTCCATGTGCAAAACTGATAGAGACATACCCCAAGAGACTTGCAGCTGGAATTGTAGCAAAAGGCGGCGCTACAAAGTATTAACGCAAGAGGGCCGAACAATATTGCACGCCCCACTTTTCAGTTTTTTATTTGTTAAAAAAGTTTGACACATCCAATAAATGTCATTCCACTTCACGATTGTGTCCCACTTGTTGATTCTTCACAAAAAATTAAAATGTTATATCTTTACGTTTGAAGCCTGAAATGTGGCAAAAGGTTGAAAAGTTCAAGGGGGCCGAATACTTTCGCAAGGCACTGTATGAAGACAGAAGACCAAGAAGTGATTTAAAGATGAACATGTACCAGTGACAGAGTCTGTGTGAAGTTAATGACGACCAGTTAACCAGTGACTACAGGGTGCAGTGATGGGTACGATAATTACGAATCTTAGTGCACCAGCGTCCAACATCTGCAGGGTGCTTGTAGGAGCATTCAAGTAAATAATGTCACCGTAGTCAATGAAGGGAGGGAAAGTAGCAGCTACAAGGCATTTCCTAACGTTCAGAGTTAAACAAGATCTATTTATGAAAAAGAAACCCAATTTTAATTACAATTTCTTTATCAAGTGTTCGACATGTGGCTTGAAAGAGAGATGTGCATTGACCAAGATTCCCAAGTATTTGTAAGAACTGACAAACTCAATAGGCACACCATTCGTAGATAAGCTGGAAGGATTGACAGCTGGTACCAACTTCTTGTTTGAAAACAACATCCCTTTGGTTTTATCAGCATTTAGCACCAGTTTGAGATTAAACAAATCTAAGTAGATTATGTCAAATGCAGACTGTTAAAGCTGGAAAACTTTAGCAATTGATTTAGATCCACAATAAGCAACTGTGTCGCCGGCATAGAAATGTAAGGATGCATCAGGAATGATCTGACCTACATTACTTATGTATATATTAAAGAGAATGGGTCCTAAGACTGAGCCTTGTGGTACACCATTGTTGACAGTTAAATAACTGGAATAAGCACCATTATGTTGAACACATTGCCTCAGATCTGTGAGAGGTAATTAGAAAACCTCTCAGATGAAAATGAAGCCCAAACAGGAATATACAGGCATCCCAGCCTAAATAACAGTGTTACATGGGCACACAGGTTCATTTGATGGTATTGATTGACACATTTTACAAAAAGTTCTGTGATGTTTCAATTGGGACCCTATTTTGTCCTTGCTTTTATGTGTAATCTATTGCACGGCATAAAAAAACTTTTGCACTGGATCCATACTGAGTGTGGCTGCCATGACTAGCATCACTAAATAACCCACCAAGAGCAACAGAGGGCAGGTACAGAAGATTAAAAATGTAGGGAACCAAGTCATGCTGAGCTGAGGCCTGTGGTACAAACGTAAGTAAATATTTGTGAACCTACGCCTTTCGCTGTAGCCTGTGTCTATATTTGATTGGAATGCCTTTTATTAGTTAAGTGGAGGATTTTTGACACCATCAGACTGAGTGGAGGAAGTTTTATAAGTTGTCCTTAACCCACTTGTTTCAGTGTGTTCTCATTCTTGTCTTCTATAATTTTAGAAGCTCTGCCTCTATGTGCTGCTGCTAAAATAAATATACATTTAATATGTGTCAAAAATTTGTTACAAACGATTCAGTTAGAATTCCTGTGACCTTGTTGTTTTGTAATTTCACTGATCACATTTCTTTAATTCTGCAAATGACAAGCTAAGACAGAGGGGATCAAAAGACAAGAAACAATCTGAGCTCATCAGCCACAAATACAAGGACTTGTACATTGCTGCACATGAGAGAACTGTTATATCACCCTGCTGCAGTTCAACAATAGCCCAAGGCAGGGAGGAACAGCTAGCGCAGTATTTATTCCAATCCAAGAGGCTTTTTTGGGGGGGGTCTCCAAGTATTTCACATTTAAATAAAAAGGGAAATGGAAGTCATGAAAGAGGACTCCCTGTAATATTTCCAGTTTTGTAAGTGAGACTAGTGCATATGTACTAGTACATACGTACATAATACATATTTTATTCGAGTCCATGGAATTAGCTGGTTGATTAACACAATTACACGGACCAGAGGGCAACGAAAGCAACTGTGTCCGAGCCTTATTTTCAACAATGGAACAAAAGGACATTTTGAAGCAAGTCTACAATATGAAAGCCTGCATCAAAGTGAAATGACTCAGGTGGAATGAGGGGCTGCAGTTGATTAAAAACTAAAATACACGAGTTGGGGAAAAAGAAAGTCTTAGTCTGCCTCGGACTGGCATGAGGTAATTACTAAAAGGAAATAGAACCAGCTCCTTTTTCATTTTTTTTTTATGGAAGATGGAACCAATATTTAAAAAGAGATTTCAACCCATGAATGTATAAAGTGGTAGAAATATGTAAAGTTGTGACTCTATGCATAAAAATATGTAAAAAGAAGACAAGAAGTACTTTTCAAGTTTCAAGAAAAAGTGAGTTCTTTCATAATACTATGTGCCATTTGTTGGACAAATAGCTGTTATTGTTTAGTTTAGTCATTTATTGCAATGATAAAAATGCTTTAAAGTGATAAAATATCTTTCAGTTCCAAACAGCTTTATCAATAAGAGCAGGTTACTTAATATTTAAAACAAGCCTGCTTGACTTGTCGGGACATATTTAACAAGGCACTTTCCCAGGATGGAGTTCAGCTTTTTAAAGCATCTAAATTAGGATTCAAGAAGAAGCTCAGCCCAGATAAATTCCTGCTTTTCTCTGCTCTGCAGACAAGTTAACACTTCACAGGAGCAGTGAAACTCACTCAGAGAAATCGAATAAATCCATTGTATAGCTAAAACTGGATAATAGGAGTAGATGATAAATTAGGCAACTATTCTACATGGAAATGCCAAATAATTTAAATGTTTTGACAACTAAAAACGGGGTAAAAAGCACAAAGAATGGTGTTTGCAGCAGGGAAATCCTGAACACAGAGGCTCATTTAAAAGCAAACAATGGAGGATATTCACTGTAACAGAACACAGAGGACTCAGTCATACGAGCGTACAATGTCTGAATTATCTGCATAAACTACAAATCTCAACTACGAGAGAGAATTCCTTCCTTACCCCCACCACCTGATGCAGCTTCAAGGTTACAGGGTCCATTTTCAAATGTAATACAGCTGAGTCAACAAATCTCTACATGTGACCTGCTGCACAACAGAGTTCAAATCAACCTGAACGGCACAGAACACTGTTTTAGTGTTTTTAACTTTTGAAGGCAAATTAAAAAAAGCAGCAGATTAGATACAGATTCAGATGTATATCAACAAAGAGGAACATTTGACTGATTGTGGACAACAAGTAACGGAGCGCGGCTGTACTTTGGATAAAACCTCCGTCTGGTAGCGATGGTGTAATGTGAACAAATCTGGGTGATGTTTAAGAAGAATGCGACTCAGTTCTGAAGCAGAAATGAGGACACACAGAGTAGTACACAGTGAGCACGCTCTGTGGAGTCACGGCCTGTTTTGTTCGTAAAGCGCACCTCCATGTAAAAGGACAAATAAAACCAGGCGTCAGAGTGGCACGTGCTTTTTGGTGAGGTCATCTTTCTGTTGATCTGCATCAGAATAAAGTATGTGCCTGCAAATTTAGCTCAGCAGTACAAAAACAAAACTCTGCTGTATTTCCTCTTCAGATGGGCTTTAAACGCATCGTTAAAAGGAGGCTTGTTCTGAGCTGCCGGACAACAGAGAAGGACAACTCTGGCACAAGGCTAAAAAAAATTTTAACAATCTCAAGCATTTATTTTAAACACCAAATCCCTTTCAAATACATGAAGGGAAATTAAAAAAAAAAAAAAAAAGTTGACTCTTACCAGTAGAGTTTCACCAGAAACCCCTCTGTTGTTGAACACGACACATCTGAAAAACAACAAAAAACCCCAAGTACAACGTTAAGCTTTTCAATTTCATATAGCAATACAAAGGATTATCAATAAATATTAAAACTAAGCATAAACAAGTACAGAAACTGCTGATATTTGGAGTTATTTTACTGACAGACCATATCTTCATGTAAATAAGGCTTGCTTCTGGTCAACATCTGTGGTTATTCTGGTAATACACCGTTCTGACATAAAATTTGAGAAAGTTGAAAATAGTGTTAATGTTAAGTCAGCATTTAGTCCAGGGGTGTCCAAAATGTGGCCCGGGGGCCATTTGTGGCTCTTTGAGTGATTTTGTTCGGCCCACATTTTGTAGTTTAAAAATGGCCTGTAGGCTTCAGAGATTGACACAGGTGTAGACAAATTTAATGCTGATCTTTTTTATATATAATTTTTAGGTTTAACAGCAAAACAGATAAAAAAAAAATCTCAAAATGAGCAATATTAAGTTTAATACACTCCTTTGGCAATAAATCAATAAAGTCAAATAAATTAAAAAAATTAATTATTAAAAGGTTATTGTTTAAGAAGCTTTAATGTTTTGGACTACAACTATTTAGAACATTTTCTTCACCAGAATTACTCAGTTTTGTCCTTTCTCCAAAACATTGTTTACGTTTTTATGCTGTGTTGTGTTTACGCTGATTAAAAAAAAAAAATCAGTAAAAATATGTATGCATTTTATAGTTTTTTTTTTTTTTTTTTTCAATTTTATTTAATGGTTTTTATTCACATTTTTGTGGCTTGTGGCTCCTTTCATTTTAAAAGTTTTGGCAGACATATGAAAATGTCTGAACACCCCTGATTTAGTCTATTGTTTTCCTGTTTAAAGTTCCATTTGTACATAAGTAGCCTGAGTCCTTTAAACAATTACAGAATTGTCAACAGAGACATAATATTTGTATACAGTATAGGTAGTCTTTTTGTACTTCAAATCTGCTATAAAAGACAGAAAAAAAAAACTTTAAATGTGTAAAATGTATGGCTCTAATAATGTGATTTGATGAAGTCATTATACAGGTTCAAATCTCACCAGAATAAATGAGACAAAAACAATATACACTGTAAAAGTGTGACAATTTTCTCAAATTTGACATGAAATATCCCAAAAATTGTCAAAGAACAATGTTTATATGACAAAAAAATTATAAAGTTGATGAGCTGTGCAAAGCATCACAGATGTGTGGGGGCAATCTGCATGTGCTGTAAAGCAAAAACATCAGCATCTCTTCTTCCATCTCACCATTCATCTATTAACTGTTTTAAACAGTGGAAATTGGCAGCGTTGCGCAGCGACACGGGGCGCTGGGCGGGAGGCGGGGGCAACAGTGGTGGAGTGCTTAAACATGCTCTGCAGCGTGGACATGGAAGCTGGTCGGGGCTAAGCTGCAAAGCTTGTCCGGGGATAAGCTGTAATTAATTAAGCTACACAGACAAGCGTGAGGGGTGGAAGATGCTGAGTTTGCCGGCTCTCTTCCAGTCATCCTAAATGTGGGTGAAAGGATGAGTGCAGACAACACAAAAAAAGGAAAAGTGCCTCCCTGTGCAACTTTTCAGGCTTGTGCATCACATCAAGAGCTGCTACTTAAACAAAAAACCGTAGCTGCCACGTTTGTTGGTGCACTCAACCTAAAACGACTTCATTCAAATGCACAGACGCTCTTTAAAACTCAATGTCAAGTTTTACATTGTGAGAGGTGAAATGTGTTTTTGACAAGACAAGAAATCCTTAATATAGACAGACATTTTTGGACAACATAAGGCACAATCAGTTTCAGTGTGTTGAATGTCTGTTCAGGGACAGATCGCAGTCAGCATATCTGCCGAGACCACCCACCTATAGCCCAGATCCCGGCTCTGTTGGACCATGTGCAGGATGTAGGACTCTCGGCTGGTGCCGGTCAGACCGGGGAGGAGGAGGACTGTGGGCCGGGTGGCAGGGTCGGGAAAAGCAAGGCTGTCATCGTTGTCAAACCAATCCACAGATATCTGTCCTCCATCTGCTGCCTTAATAAGCTCACTGAAAATAGGAGTGGGACACAGTTCAGCAATGTGGCTCTTTCTAAAACTGACTATACATATATATATATATATACCATATTTTCCGGCATATAAGGCACTCCGGAGTATAAGTCACATCAGTCAAAAAACGCATCATGAAGAGGATAAAAAAAAAATATAAGTCTCTTCAGCGAATATGTCACATTTATTATGCGTCACCACTGACCCGTCTTGTTTATGATACGTTTATTTTTTGGTTTAATTTCGCCTGGGCGGTGCCATCCATCCATCGCTGCCGGAGCCGCTAGCTCTCCAGCGTTCCTCCGCCTGCACAAGCTGAGTGAAGCGAGCTCGCACCGGAGGACTCGCTGTTGCAGTTCTTAGAAATTTAAAGGGTCAGTCAAAAATTGCATTTTGAATATGGGAGAAATAAACACATATACGTCGCTTTGGTGTATAAGTCACAAGACTGACAAATCTATGCAAAAAACTGCGACGTATACGTCGGAAGATCCGGTGTCCTTTGTCATCCACTTGCACACGCACACAAGCGCACACACAGAACAATAATGAAGATGGGAGATACTAGCAATTTAGACGAACAGGATTTAGATGCATAATTGCTGATTACTGTTAAAAACCTGATTCCACTTGGTGCACAGTTTAGGGATTCTGTTAAGTTCCAAGCAAAGTGATTACTTCATTGTATCCATCACAGTCTGCTACAAGGGAATTCGATACGCGCGCTCACTGACAGCTGCCTCACGATCGCCTTTTTACTAGACTTTGCAGCACACAGCCAGTTAAGCTAAAGACGAGGGCACTGCACCAGTGGGTTCTTAAGGTCATCAATTTTTGCGCTATACAGCTGTAGTGTAGGCGATGAGATCGCTCAGTCCTGGCACTGGTGCCTTTTAAAACCTGCAGAACACATAAAGCCACACATAAGGCTGCCGGTGAGCCAGCTAGGCCCGGCTCGTGGTAAAAACGTCCGCATGAAATTACAGAGCAGCCATGAAATATACACCTGAAACGAAGGGCTGTAAAGTCTAGGACTGATGCAGAGCAACACAGGGTGGGAGGGGGCGTGATGCTAGTCCTCTCATCGGACAACAAGGTGAGTGAAATTTCACCCAAACAGCCTGCGACAAAATAGTTTTCCCTTTATCTGCCTTTGGGTCAACCTTGGGCAACTCCGTTAATGGGGGAGGCGAGGGGAGGGGTCCAGTTGTCCCCAAAGGAAATTTCATTTGGAGTACAGTGAATGTGATCATCAGTCTTAGCGGGTTAGAAAGGATCTGTGTAATATGGGAATGCTTGTCACCGTGACAAAGGAGACACTCAAAAGCAGGAGTGTGAATGTCCTTGGGTCAGACACCGATCAAATGTTTTCTGAAATACAGTAGTCCCTCGTTGCTTCGCGGTTCGTTTATCGCGGACTCACTCTATCGCGGTTTTTCAAAATAAGATTGGACATGACACACAATTGGCTGACTGATGGATGAGCCGCACGATCGGCATGGAATTTTTATTTTAAATGAATTATTTTAAATCATGTAGCACCTGCTGCACCTTTGTGCAGCCCACAGCTGCAGGAGAAGCTTCCTCCTGCAGCTGTGGGCTGATCTACGTGCAGAGCGGAGAAGTGGGCGTGGCCGAGAGCGCTTGCAGGTGGTGAGGCAGAGAGCTGAGTTCATGACATTCTGTGCTTTTTTAGAGCGTTTAGAGTTTAGAAAGACTGTTTAGAATTTTGCAAGAGTGTGGGAAGGGTTAAAAACACCTTTATATATTTATATATATAGTTATATATGTAAATACTAAAATAAACTACTACTTACTACTTTACTACTACAATCCCTACTTCGCGGTTTTTCACTGATCGCGAGGCTTCAGAGTACGGATCCCCACGCGATAAATGAGGGACTACTGCATAGAAATTAAAAACCTCAACAGATTTCAACAAAACAACAACAACAAAAAAATGTAGGTTTAATTTACCAAAGTCCATGCTCAATAATCCAGGTATAAAATCCAACAATGTTCAGTCAGGCCATCTGACAGGTGCAGCCTTCCGGATGGAGGATGAAACATCTCAGCACTAAAAAAGACCTGACTGAACAGTGTTAGGTTTAATTTAATTCTCACCTCATAAATATACAAACAAATATTAAGTATAAAACAGATGATAGCTCTAAACAGATTACAGCTGCCCGGTTACAGCCTGGTTAGAGCAGTCGTCCACTAATGCGAGAGTTGCGGGTTCAATTCCACCAGCAGTCACATGCTGAAGTGTCCCTGGGCAAGACACTGAACTCCTCGTTGCCTCTGACGTGTCCCATCAGTGTATGAATGTGATAAAGCACTGTTTATTCTTTGTATAGATACAGTAAAGTGCTGTATGAAATGAGGGCACAGATTGTGTTGTAAAGCACTTTGAGTTTCTTGATAAGATAGAAAGGTGCTATATAAGTACAATCCATTTACCGTTATAAAAAAGATGTGGACCTATTCAAAGAACTAAAATTAATTAGTCATAACTGTGTGGTGATAAACCAGCCACTAGGGAGCACAAGCCAGTGTTGTGCCGGTCCGAAGCCCGGGTAAATGGTAAGTGTTGTGTCAGGAAGGGCATCTGACGTAAAACACTTTTGCCTAAACTATAATGCAAGTTCATCAAAGCAAAACCATACCGGATCGGTCGAGGCCCGGGTTAACAATGACCGCCACCAGTGCTGTTGACAAACAGGGTGTTGGTGAAAATTGTGCTACTGTTAGTCAAAGACTTCGAGGAGGGAAACGTGTCAGGAGACAGAGGAAGAAGAGGAAAGTCAAGAATGTAGGACTGAGGGTTGCAACTCTAAATGTGGGGACAATGACAGGCAAAGAGAGCTGGCTGACATTCATTCAACCTTTATTTAGACATGATGCAGAGAAGGAAGGTAGATGCTTTATGTATCCAAGAGACCAAGTGGAAGGGCAACAAGGCTTGAAGCATTGGAGCAGGGTTCAAACTGTTTTACCATGGTGTGGATAGAAAGAGAAATGGAGTAGGGGTGGTCCTGAAGGAGGAGTTGGCAGAGAATGTAGTAGAGGTGAAAAGAGTGTCAGATAGAACGATGTGCCTGACAGCGCCAAGACAGAACAACCTCACCACAACTGCGTGGTGATAATATATTTATATAATATGTATAACATATGTGTCCTAATTAAATCTCATCTGATGGCTGAATCCCATAACGCAAATCACAAAATATCGCTTTTGATTCTGAATTTTTAGGTTCAAGTAGGAACAAGACTATGACAGCAGAAAGGAACTGGTGATCAAATTCTGTATAATGTAATTATAAAAATAGTGGACAGATGTGTCAAAATTCCAAATGTTTCTTGATTTGTGTCTGTAAAATGACATGGACTACGTAAAAGAATAAGTAAATTATCCGCTGGGTGGGGGGATCTTGGAGGACTATGTAGCATGTGAGGACTTACTTTCTATAGACGACTCCAGGTTTGGCGGTGACAAAGGGCCTCAGCAGGGTCTGGATGCGGCTCTCCCAGCACCAGAAGGTGGGGTAGTAGGTCTCTGACACCACTGGACATTGCTCCTTTAGAAAGTGGTAGAACTTCTTACCTCCAGATACAAGCTGAGGTTTCTGGAAAACAAAAAGTTTATATTTACACAGAAGAATTCTTTATTACTACTCATTTATTCTGACAAAAGCCACCTTTCAGAGTCTTAAACTATTTTTTATGATGAGAAAGGACAGAGTTAAAGCTATTTCTTATTACTGTGGTTAACAATGCTAAAGTTTTAAAGCAAAAATGGCATGTTGTGAGCATATAGGAATGATGCTCAGTTCCTATAATAACACATTTTAGCTTAACGTCTGAAAAAATAATCCATTTGGCTGTGGTAGCCATCTTGAATGGGGCTGACTCTAAACGTTAATCCTAATTAGTTGTGAATCGACAAATTATATTCTAAAAGTGACAATAAAATCCATCCACTGGCTCTTGAAATATTTTGCTAACACTCCAGACAAGTGAACACGCGCATAGAGGCAAAAACATTACAATTTTTGTCTTTCATGGTGCACAATAAATACATAGAGCGTGCCATTTTAGATCAAATATGAAATAATCTAAACAATTTTCCCGCCAACTACTTTATTTTCTTCACTCAGTTTTATGTCAATGTGGTGAAAACTATGAAAATGTGTGAAAGTGACATCATTTTTACTCCGTTATCTAAACGAACATTTGATCATAGACATAAAAGTTGGATTTAAAACGCTCATAGATGACAAGAATAAATATGTATATTTGCAACAAAACATGCCTAATTTGGACTTTTAGTTGCTGAAATGTTGCTTTTTAAATAATTACATGTGCTCACGCCTCTATAGCCTGGAGGGTGAACTTGTTACATTAAAAAATAAACTCATATGTGAGCAAACATCATGTTTATTGTGGTATTAATTGAACTTATTGAGTCAAAGACGGCGTGTGTTACATAAGCGCCCGGAAGCGGAATAATGCCGGCGCTTCTTGCAAACTGTTCACGTTGGCCTATCTAAGGCACCAAGACAAAACCTGGAAATCTGAGCTGTTCTTTGATGTTTATGATGATTTTAAAGATAATATTTCGTGATTAAAGAGGATGTCTCGCCTCCACACGTGCACAGAGGCAGCTCACCGCGCGGATGCAAACCTAACCCGAATCCTCCATCACTGACCGGTCGGCTGTCATCACTCCCCGGTGGCTCCTCAGCAACAAACCCACGCTGTGTTATTGTATTTTATTAATTTATAACTCAGTGCTGAAGCTTATAGCGCCGAACAGTCCTCCTCAAAATGAACGCTAACTTACCTTGGCGACAGAAATCAAATAATAGCAGGTGTAAGCTGCGCTAAAGCCCAGCACCAGAGACAGCCCCACTCCCGAACCGAACAGTCCAACTTTCACTTGGTTTTCCAAATAGTGTGACAGGTCCCTCGTCAAAATGTTGAAGTTAAAGTCCAGCGAGATCATTGCAAGGTCCCTGTTGTCTCGAGTAGGGCAAGGACACCGGCCAGGCTCGGTTTGAGATCCGCTATGTGAGCCAACTATGAAGGAGATCGTCAAGGGGACCTGGTGTGAGTTACATGTCCGGACGGCAGGGGGCGCTGTTTCACCAGCTGAAGCCGCCCTGAAGGACTCTGTCGCCCCCTGCCGTCCACAGCGCTGTAGTGCACAAAGGTTATATTGAGCACAAGCCCTCTAATCAGTGGACTGACAGGTTTAAAATGTAAATAAAATCAAATAAAACAAGCATTATTTAACATCATCACCATCGGAATAAAAATATGTGACAAAATTGATTAAAAATAATAACTAATATTTAAGCCAAGGAATGCCCCTGTGGGTACAAACTCTCATTGTAATAATTTAATTAACGTAAATGATCAAGTCCTTGAGACCGCAAAGCAGATTTATAACCTAATGAGAACCCCGAAGAATACAATTTCACAGATGGACTTCTATAATTTATTTAGGACGATCGTTTTAAGAAGTCCAGTCAAGTCAAATTTCTTTATAAAGCACATTTAAAATCAACAGTTGTTGAACAATAAAAAACAATGGCAGTTTTTTTTTTTTTTTTTTTTTTTTTTGCCAACAGTGCTGAACAATAAAAAAATAATGGCATTAATTAAAAGAAAAAAAGCAATAAAACATAAAACAATAAAATACTAAAACAACTCACACTGGGCTAAAAGTCAGTGAAAGTATATGTGCTTTTAAGAGATTTAAAAACAGGAGGTGAAGTGGCCTGTCTAATCTTAGGTGGCAGGTTATTACAAAGTTTAGGGGCCACGACTGAAAAAGCCAGATCTCCTCTGGGCTTCAAACTGTGTTTTGGTGTAACCAAAATCAACTGATCAGATGATCTTAGCAACTGAGACAGATCATATGGTTGAGAGAGATATGGTGCAAGACCATTTAGGCATTTAACGGTCAACAAGATAATTTTAAAATCTATTCTGTGACATACAGGAAGCCAGTGAAGGGAGGATAAAACTGGTGAAATATGCTCAAACCTACAAATTCCTATTAAGACCCAGGCTGCAGCATTTTGAACGAGCTGGAGATGTGAAAGGGAGACCTGACTGACCCCAACATACAACAATAATAAGAAAATAAGATCTGCTTGGTCATGAAACATTTTCCCCAGATACTCAATAGCAGGCTAAACTAATCCAGACTATTTGGGGATTTGCGTAATTTAAAGTAATTTCATTTAACAAATTAATTTTATTTTTAAAAGTATATATTTTGGTGTACATTTTTATGTTATAAAGGCAAAACAAGTTGTGCAGTAGAGGAATAAATATACTGTCAATGACACAAAACATAAATAAATTCAACTGTTAGTATTACACAGAAAGGGTTGGTTTCACCTAACGTTATCATTATTTTATTTATTAATCTTGTTTATAGCTTTTATGACAATGGTCTTGTTACAGCAAACCAATCTGTTCAAACAAAATAATTTTAATGTGAATTTTAAATTCTGTAATTAAATTAAGTCAGCAGATATGACAATGCAAAATATAAACATTTTAAAATATGTTCATTACAATTTACATTTATTATGTTTATTATTATATTGTAATAGACAAGTAAGCAAATTGATGAAATTTTGAACATTGCTGTTGTGTTTGTGATTTCATTTTCCTTTTAAGGGTTTCACTTTACACCAACTCACTGGCCTCAGAAACAATTTGATGATGCCACAGTAAATATAATGCTGACAACACATTTGTCACCTTTTTTGACATATTTTGGAAGTTTGTACCTGTGTCCGCCCAATAAGTGCATTTGAGCACGTCTTGCTATACATCTTAAGATTAAAACAGTTTCATACGAATCCCTAAACATAGCTAAATTTATTTCCACATCAAACAGATGCACTAGCAGACAGTGATTTGCAGGCGCACATGCGCAGTAAAGGTCCGGCCTTTTGTCTTCGGACTTCATCGTGCATCATCGTTCATTTCCGTAGCTAGTTGTTGCTCGTCTGAGGTTTGAACGATGATTGAATATAATGGCGACCCGTTTTCTCTGACTTGAGCCCATGGAGCAATCTTGGACTGACAAAAGGAACCCTTTGGATGCTTTGTCTTGCACTTTCGAAAGCAGCATTAAAGAAAACCAGCCACGAAACGGAGTTCATTCGCTCTCCGCCACAAAGGGGGAGCCTGGAGAAAATTTCTACTGCTACCGTTGCTATCGCTAGCAGTTGTTCGTGCTAGCTTGCTAAGTTGAAGAGGGGACATTCTTGTGTGGAAACTGAGAAGAAAAACGGCCACCTTGCTAAAAACCGAGATTGGTGCATGTTATAAACGCGTCTACTCTATAGTCTTTTTTGATATACTTTTTTTTCTCTCAGGGGCTACCATTAGTGAGCACCGACTTGTTGTTTGCGTTAGCTTCTAGTTTTTGGAAGAGGCTTGAGCAGGCACCCAAGCAGGGATTGTTCTAGTTTCCTTCTTGTTTGGACTTGCTCTCGTTTAATAGGAAAACTGCCAACCAGCGCAACGATAGCTTGCTAGCAAAGTGTGCTAGCTTGCTTATTTAAGGATTTTTTTTTTTTTTAGGTTTTTACGTGATCCCTTTTTCTTTGCAAATGACTACCGGCAGGAACAACCGGGCGATGATGGAAGGAGTTGGAGCCAGAGTGGTCCGGGGACCCGACTGGAAGTGGGGGAAGCAGGACGGTGGAGAGGGACATGTTGGCACGGTTAGGAGTTTTGAAAGTCCAGAGGAGGTGGTGGTTGTGTGGGATAACGGGACAGCTGCCAACTATCGTTGTTCTGGAGCTTATGACATACGGATATTAGACAGTGCTCCTACAGGTAACTCCTATTTTACGTCAATCCATTTGTTTTTGAAGTTGTTTTATACGAACTCTTTCAGGCACACTTCTGCTGAAAGAATTGCCAGTGGAACACGGAAGTTGTTTGTGAGCAGCGTGAATATATTCTCAGATGACGTCAAGCTGTTGTATTCTGAAACAATCGTTTAGTTGGTTGTAAACAAACGCACAAAACAAAAAGAGGAAGACAAAGTCCCTGCTTTCTTCATATGGTTGGAATTAAAATTGACAACTTGTGACCTTTCTAATCTTAAACTTGGAAGTTGTGCACAGAATGCAAGTTGTGTTTTCACAGTCAGTGACGTAAATGCCAATCCCACTCAGGTATCAAGCATGATGGAACCATGTGTGACACCTGTCGACAACAGCCCATCATAGGTATTCGCTGGAAATGTGCAGAGTGCACCAATTATGACCTCTGCACAACCTGTTACCATGGAGACAAGCATCATTTAAGACACCGTTTCTACAGGATCACCACTCCAGGCAGTGAAAGGTTGGTTCACTTGGCATTAGCCATCCATTGTGCAAGAATGCCCATCACTTATACAGTAATTAAAAGGAAACAAGTCACTGCACTAATTTCATACATGGTTTGTCCTTTTACACGTCTATTGACTTTTTTTTAACCTTATATAAATTTGTGATATCCAAGAAGCCTTTTGCACTGTGTGCATAGGAGATGGACGGACCATATCTGTATGCACCCAGCTTTCAGTTGCCAAGCAACTGTTCGGTCTTATTTTAAGATTCACCAACACCTTTCTTAAATATATCAGTGCAGAGCTTTTCAATAACATCTCGTTTTTTTAAGCTAATTTTTCCTCTTTTTGCATTTGTATTTATGCCTTTTTGAAGCTTATGAGCAACCATCTTTTGACCACTTTCTCACTGGTACGTCTGAGTGAGGGTTAAGTCTCTTTCATAAAACACTTTTGCAAAATGGCTGCAAAAACCAGTATGTTTTTATGTTTACTCTGGTTGTTCGTAAATCACGGATGGAGCTAACCATGTCCTGCATAGATGTGGGTTTTCAGAAATGAAGCAAGCATCACAGAACTCAGCTCTGCGTTAGTGTTGTTTTCAAAACATAAGTTCAGCAATTGTTTTTGGATTTTATTTTTTTTAACTAATTATGAAGTTGCTGTGCATCTTTGTCGATCTTCCCTCGGTAATAAATGTGTTGTTATTTAATCCCACAACCGAGTGGTCACACAAGACCATATGTCATCACTACATCCATTGAGCTTCAAAACTAGTTTACCTTTTTACATGTCGATTGTTTCGACTCTGTCACTATCTCGTTATGTGACACTAAAGCGCATCAGGTATGGATAGGTTTCAAATCCCCTCGCCACCTTGGTCTATTCAAAAATCACCCCGAGGTGGCCAGATGGCACCTTAAGTCCTGTCTTGATGTGTTTTGTGAAATAAATTTTAGTAAATGCCATATGTTTTATACTCAACTTCACATACTACACAAGGACAGTAAAAAATATAATTTAAAAAAGTTTTGATTAATTAATTGTTGTATTTTTTGTGGTTTGATTGATGCAATTTATTTGACAACATGGGTGATCATGGCTGACAATGACAGGATAAAGACAGTTCATTGCTGAAGCAATCAAGTTAATTACGGTTTAACATTTGTTGACCAAAACTTTTTTTTTTTTGGGGGTCAGTGGCTTTGATTGTCAAGGAGCCATAGCCAGAATAATTTCTCAAATATTGTTTGTGTATAATCTTAAGATTAGTAACTTTAAACTGTAGGAACTGTTTGTTGTATCCTCAGACTATAGTTGTCTATAAAATTCTGTGCTGCTGCGAAACAGTTGCTGTGTAAACGTTCAATAAATCATCTTGTCTGAGACTGAAGCATCAAGAAAATTCTTAAAACAAGCAATACCATTTGCATGTAAAACATACATGTAGAACAAAGGCACATTTGCATAAAACACAATGGCTGCAGCTGCTCCTTTTTTGGGTCGTGTTTTTTTCCTAAACAGGAAGATTTCTTCTTAGTTTCTGTTAAACTTGAACAAAACAAGAAACGATACTAAATCTGGGCTTAAGATTGATATGAAAACAAAATGTAAGTGGCAAGTCAAGATAAGATATATCTGGCAAAAGTTAACTCTTTGCACTTTACAAAACAATTTTGAAAGATATGGATATGTCTTTGGAAATTATTATTGTGCTGTTGTGAAATTTGGACAAGAAGTTATCAGCCTGTGGTTTTACTGTTTTGCAGATAATTCCTAAAACTATAATCTGCTACAGGCATCCGTATACAGAAAATAGAAGACATTATTTGTTGTTTCTATTTAAGCTTGGTGGTCTGTGGTTGCGTCTTGAAGGGCATCCGGCGTAAAAACTGTTGCCAAGTCTTCTACGTGTCAGACGAAAGGAGAAAAGAAAACTGTTGCTGCACTGATCTTTTATAAGAACAATCAAAAAGGAATAAAGCAGCCAAAATCAGACTTTGGATCTTTGGAGTTTTGCTCACTCACTAAATTGCATAACTAGAGTTTTGTTGTAAATTTGCTTATATAATTTGTACTATAATAGCTGTGTTTACTTCATGTTTTTTTTAAGTAAACATAATTTATTAAATAACACACAGGGCCCAACAGCAGACGGCCTTTTTTTTTTTTTTACTGACTACATTTTAGTTTCCCCTGAGACAGACGTTGTATAATGCACAATGGGTGTTGGTAGTTTCCTCAGCTCACCCTGCTCCTGCAGCTTGAGGGGGTGTTTGGTTACGAACTGTTGAAAATAGATTGGTTTGCAATTGCAACCTGTTTGCACAGGCTAGACCCACACAGTCGTGCTGCAGTGTCTGCCATGGCTCACATTGCTCAAGTTTTGTTGGTCATTATTGTAACTAGCAACTCTGATTTCCTCTCCCATCCCTAGAGATAGAAACTGAAATAAATTACCTCTTTTAATAAAACACCTTGATGCAGTCCTTATTGAGTTTCATGCAAGCAGTTTAATTTCCACTTTTAAAAATGCTTGTTTCTTTTTGTGAATATTTGATCTGAGCAGAGTACTTTTGGAGTCACGTCGCAAGTCAAAGAAAATCACAGCCAGAGGGATCTTCGCTGGCGGCCGGGTTGTGAGAGGAGTAGACTGGCAATGGGAGGACCAGGATGGAGGCAATGGGAGGAGAGGAAAAGTAAGACATTAAACAGATAAAGGGAGCTTCTATTAGTGCTCTTTTTATTATTTTTATTAGTCAGTATTCTGTTTTATGAACTATAATATTGCCGTATATACTTGCCTGTTTTAGTAGTTCTTATAATCATTTTTTTAATCAGTAGAGTGTACATTGGTGCTTAAAAGTTTGTGAATCCTTTTTTATATTTCTGCATAAATATAACCTAAAACATCATCAGATTTTCACACAAGTCCTAATAGTAGATAAAGAGAACCCAATTAAACAAATGAGACAAAATATTATACTTGATCATTTATTTATTAAGGAAAATGATCCAATATTACAGTGTTTCCCCAACCATTGTTCAAGGAAGGTGCCCCACCCTGTCAACAGAACCAATCGCCCCGCCTACCAAATCCCCTACACACACACAGCTCTGCCACTTCCGGATGGGGAGCAGAGATTGTAGCAGCTCAGCTCTACAATCTTCATGTTCCAAAACATGAACTTTATTCTTCTTGAACCATTCTTTGGTAGAACCACTTGTGTGCTCATTGTTTTGCTAGATGACCCACCTTCTCTTGAGAGTCAGTTCATGGACAGATGTCCTGACATTTCCCTTTACAATTATCTGATATAATTCAGAATTCATTGTTCCATCAATGACAGTGAGTCGTCGTAGCCCAGATGCAGCACAACAGGCCCAAACCATGATACTACCACCTCTGTGTTTCACAGATGTGATAAGGTTTTTATGCAGGAATGCTGACTTTTCTTTTCTCCGAACATGACACTTTTCATTTAAAACAAAGTTCTATTTTGGTCTCATCCGTCCACAAAACATTCTTCCAACAGCTTTCTGGCTTGTCCACGTGATCTTTGGCAAACTGCAGATGAGCAACAATTTTCTTTTTGGAAAGCAGTGGCTTTCTCCTTCAACTCTGCCTTGCACACCATCGTTGTTCAGTGTTCTCCTGATGGTGGACTCATAAACATTAACGTCAGTCAATGTGAGAGAGACCTTCAGTTGTTAGAAGTTACCCTGGGGTTCTTTGTGACCTTGCCACCTATTACACATTCATTTAAAACAATAAATTATCATTTGGTAGAGCTGCCACCTCTCAGTGAGAAGGTTGCCGGATCCAGTCCTGGCTGGGGACCTTCCTGGGTAGAGTTTGCATGTTCTCTCCATGCATGCGTGGGTTTTCTCCAGGTACTCCAGTTTCCTCCCACAGACCAGAAACATGCATGTTAGGCTGATTGATAACTCTAAATTGTCCCTAGGTGTGAGTGAGAGAGTGAATGGTTGTTTGTCTCTGTGCTGGACTTGTGAGCTGTCCGCAGGTGTCCCCGGCCTCTCGCACAGTGACTGCTGGATATTTGCACTGTGACCCCATGACCCCAAAAAAAGGAAGAAGCGAGTAAATATGATGGATCATTTTCCAAAATAAATAAATGAACAAGTATAATATTTTGTCTCATTTGTTTAACTGGGTTCTCTTTATCTATTTTTAAGACTTGTGTGAAAGTCTGATGTTTTAGGACATATTTATGCAGAAATATAGAAAATTCTAAAGGGTTCACAAACTTTCAAACACCACTGTAGATGTGGTCACTTAATTGTCAGCTACAGACAGGACATTGATGTTGAGAATAGTGTGTTTGAAAGAAACATTTGTAACATTAAAAATAAACACAAATGCCCCGTTTTATACCAAAATGAGAATTTGTTAGACAGATATTGTTACTATAGTGTTTAAATTAAAATAATGTAGTTTTTTTTTAAACAAAATTTTAAATTTGGTAATATGAGCCTTCAAGAGGGGACTCAATGTGAAAACAGGCTTGGTAAGGAAAAATTAAACTTTCACCCCAGGATATACTTCAGCTGAAATCTGTAGCTGCTTCAGCTACAACAGGAAGGGCACCACCTGACTCAACAGACTCTTATAATGGACACAGATGTTGATTAAATTCAGATAATATAGTTTTTAATGTAGAAAATTACCGGTCCTTGTGAAATCCAGGCCTCTTGCAAGCGTTAGATTTATACAACCAAATGGAGTAAAAATATATATTACCAAAAAATTGTTTTACCTAGCAAGGATTTTGCTGATATTTGTCATGCACTGCATGCTCTTTCTTTTTCTTTTCGGTGAGCTACCAATCAATTCAGTTTTATTTCATGGCCCCAATTCCTAATAAATGTTTATCTTTTTGTGCTCATTCTTATTTATAGTGATGCTATGAACAATCTTCCTAATAGCAAGTTATTCCAATTTAATGTTTGTATCTTCTGCATCATTAGGACCTATTCACTGTTGAAGAGTTTACGTTTGAGTATCTCACTATCTTTACTTTTTTACTATACATGTTAAAGGGTTTGTATTTATACTCTTGTACAGACCAAGGAGTACTGGTAGTAACTTTAATTACCCCTTCAGGTAAACTTAAACAATTTTTTATAGTTATTAAATGACATATACATTAGTGCTTTATGATGCTGTAGACAATGTGCTCTGTAGAAAACCACCGTTACATGTTCTGCAGCTTGGATGTCCTGTTGGGTCAGCATGAATGGTTCCTCAGGGCTCCCAGCAGCGACTCTGGAAACCAGGAAAAACCTGGAAAATGACTCACATTTTTCAGATGGAAAACTCAGGGAATTTGAGAAAAACTACAAAAATCAGGGAAAACTCAAAATAATTATTTTGACACAGATCTGCTGATTTAAAAATGATCTTTTTTAGATTTTACTGTGCATGTATTAATGCTAGTATCAGAATAAGCTTTATTGTCATTTCACAGTGAAGTACAATAAAATTACATTCCGTACAGCCGTCCTAAAGATGGATGGAAGTGAACAGTATTCTACTATCACTGAGTCAATGTTCTGCTTTTGCATAATGCATGTCCTTACTGATGGAATATGGTAGCTTTTTAGTATCTGAAACAATATTAGGAATACTGTAATTGCCGTACCGTATAGTACTGTACTACTGAAGTATCTCCTAGAATTTCAGGATTTATCCCGGGAAAACTCAGGGAATTTTGTTTTCATGAAAAACTGGGAACTCTTTCTCTCAGGGTCCTTTTATCAGGTAGCTCTGCAAGTGACCCTACAAAATGTTGGATTTATGTATTTACTTAGGGAACACCCTTTAATTTGATAATGTATTCAAATGTGGCTTTTTTTCCCCACACTAACATTGTTTAACAATTTATAGCTTTTGTTGAAAAGAGGCAATCTTTTTTTGTATTATTTTACAAATTTAAATGAAAAGAAAACAAAAGAGACAATTTTACTTAACAGAGGACTAAAAGCCATGTAGTGTCCTTTAATGTAAATCAGTGCTACATATTATATATATTTTTTTCTTTTCATGTCTAATAAATACTGTATGATAACATACTGTAAAACCCTGTTTATCACAGGCTGCTTACCAGCAACTGGCATAAATGCTAATTGAACATCAAAAATACCATAGAAAAGCTAACACAGTTAGCATCATGCTGATTACTGAAACTTCTACAGAAATCAAGCATTTCAGTCATGTTCTAATAACTTACACTATTACTTCCAGTCATACATTCTTCATTAAATAAAATAATAAAATAAAATGAGTAGAAATAATAAAATAAGATGCCACATAATAAAATACCACTACAGGAAGTTATGGTAACTACAAGAACAAACTGCACTGTGCAGCAACTACTCTGCCAGCTCTCATAAAGTGTTAGCACAGAATCACGCTAACAAAATCCATGTTCACAAAATTAATACATCTAAAAATAGATTTGACCTCTTACCCCTAGTGTCAGTACAGTATATGTGTTTTGGCTGCATTATTCACAGAGGTTAAAAATACTTCTATAAACGTTTCTACTAACGAGACATTTCTCTGTTCATGTGTTACTGTCGCACCTTGTCTAACTTTTTTATTTTTGTGTGCCTGAAATAAAAACTCAAAACACTCAACTTTCAAAGTGCCCTGAACTGATCCATCTTCCTTTGCAGGTGACGGAGATCCAGGACTGGAGTGCAGCCAGCCCTCACAGCGCTGCCTATGTACTGTGGGACAACGGGGCAAAGAACCTGTACAGAGTTGGATTTGAGGGAATGGTGAGGACAAACTCAGTTCTGACCCTCATGCTCGCTTACTCTACCCACACAAATAATCTCTTAAAAGAACAGCTGTAAGGTGGCTTTTGTGTTGGGCCGTAGGGATGAGGCTCTTTCTTTTGCTGCCAGGCCCTTTGTGAGAGTCACACGGCCAGCATGCGTAGCGAACTATTGTTCGAGCAGCTGGAAGGAGACAATATTTGCATGAGAAAGGCAATCTGTTCCTTCTGCTTTAAGGGGAAACAAGTGTACATGCAGGTCAACTTTCTGGCTGTTGTGTGCACTGCGACACGTGTCCCACATGAAAAGCGTTCTCTTGATTGGCTGGGATCACATTGCCTTTTTACACAAGTAGCCAATCAGATTTAGCAGTCGCGTAACAGATTTGTTCTTTTGTAATTCTAATAGATTGAAAAAGAGGTTGATGGCATCTGTCTTTTATATTTAAATCATGACTTAGACCCCATCATCTTGATTATTTTACATTAGTTTTATTTTATTTTACTAAGAATGCAAAAAAAAATGCAAATTTTGCGAATAGTTAAATGCTAAGAAGAGTCATATTTTGTTTAGTGTTGTGATGCTCACTTTGTTAAAGTGCAGTGTGGGTACATTACATTAGATTGAAGTTATTTTCTGTTGAGAAGTAGTCAGTAGCTTTTCATTAGTCTATATAAATTTACTTCACCTTATAATCATTATTGCCCTCTAACTCTGCCACAACGGCTCTATGTCTGAGTCATTACAATTTATCTGAAGCATCCTCCCAATATCAGTGCCCTGCATTACCTGCAGGGCACTGATATTGTTTGCATATGCAACACTCGTACTAGAGTAGCTCAAGTGTGTACATATTCATTTCCATTGTTCATGAACATATAATTTTAATAGAATTACCTTGTGTAATCATCTTAACACCTACCACCTTCCCTTTTTTAAATACTTTTTAGTCTGACCTGAAATGTGTCCAAGATGCCAAGGGAGGCTCATTTTACAGAGACCACTGTCCTGTTTTAGGTAAGTAAGCCAGTGATGTGTGTCTATCGTCATTATTGCACCAATTCTCTCACCTCTTGTTCTGGCGCAGTGAATTCAAGGGCATTAGGGGAGTTTTTACTTGTAGCTGTTAGTATTCTGCCACTAGATGTCAGCACCATATAGTCACCTGGTCACCAATATATGCGACATAAGCTACTGAAGTTCAGCATTCTAGGGATTTCAGAGGAAAAACTCTTATTGGTTTCATCATTATTATTGATGGTGTGAGGTTTTGTATGTATACAGTAATAATGCAATGGGGAGTGGTGGCGCAGAGGTTAGAGAGGTGGGCTTGTGATCCGAAGATCGCCGGTTCACGCCCCGGCCTCGACAACATCAAAAACAATTGTGGGTGGGGTAGGTGAAACACCCACACTTGCCCCCACCCTCATTCACCCCACTCTGGGCCCATCAGCAAGGCCCTTAACCCCCACCATGTGCTCCCTAAAAAAAAAAAAACAGGTCTCTCTTGAAAATGAGTTCTCGTGGCTCAATGAGACTAACCTGGATAAATAAAGGCTAAATAAAAAAATGAAAAAATGGATACAAATGTCACTCTGTTCTGGTTAAAGACATACTATAAAGTACTCCGTGCATTATAATGATTTTTTTTTTCTTTGATAAATCTAAAGTTACCTTTGTCTCCCAGGTGAGCAGAATGGCAACAGAAATCCCGGTGGTCTTCAGATTGGTGACCTGGTCAACATTGATCTGGATCTAGAGATTGTTCAGTCCCTCCAACACGGCCACGGGGGGTGGACCGACGGTATGTTCGAGACGCTCACCACCACAGGCACGGTGTGCGGCATCGATGAGGACCATGACATTGTAGTTCAGTACCCAAGTGGAAACAGGTAAGCATAGGCAGACTTAGATCTGCTGGATGACTCAAACCAGTAAGTTTGCATCATGTTGATGCACCGTTTGTATCATGTGTTAACTTTAATGACTTCACCTTCACTTAAGGATGCTCAAATATCACTAAATATTTTTCTGGACTTTTTCTCCTGGAAACTGAACAAAAAATTGTGATGCTTAAAAAAATATACTTTTAAGTAATTTGTAGTGACCTTAATACTTAAAGAAAGTGGATATTTATCAAATTAGGACTCTGTAGTTAAATGGAAAACGAGATAAAGTCTGAAAACCAAAGTTAAATCATTTCCTATAAAGAAAAAAATCTGTTTAGTGTGAATGGACTAAATGTTTAGGTTTAGTGCTCACTACTCATAACTTTGTTTTAATATAACAATCTCAGCCTTTTAATTAAAGTTAAAGTTGTCATCTTTTTAAATTGTGAGTGACCACGTCTGTGCTGTAATTGCTGTATCCACAGATGGACGTTTAACCCAGCAGTGCTGACGAAGGCTAATGTAGTGCGCAGCGGTGAAGTTGCAGCTGGTGCAGAAGGGGGAAGTTCCCAGTTTCATGTGGGAGACCTAGTCCAGATCTGCTACGACATTGACCGCATCAAACTGCTGCAAAGAGGCCACGGAGAGTGGGCTGAGGCGATGCTGCCAGTAAGAGTTTTATAAATGTTCACGTAGAATGAAAATACATGTTAAATTTTAACAAAACTTTAAACAGGTCTCTCTTGAAAATGAGACCTCATGACTCTGTGAGACTACTTGTATTAATATAGGTTAAATTTAAAAAAATAATAACTATGAAGTTGTGCAGGTAATAACATTATTGCACTTTTTTATGACTAAACAACATTCAGCGACAATATCTCACTCCTAAATTTATTTATTTTTTAACCTTTGTTTCAGCAGGATTTTACAGTTTTCCTTTAATGAGATTTATTCACCCTGGTTTGCCATGTTTTGTAACGCCTGTAATGTGTGATGTAATGTCTTCTTTAGTATGCCACTTGTCCTTTTCAAAGTGGCTCATCTCAGCAGCTACTGAGCTGTAAAACCCTGAGATGGGTTGTAGCTTTGATCACTAACCATGGCTGTTTGTCGCCTGCTGCTTCTCCTTTTGCAGCAGTCCTGGTTATTGATGACATCCTTGAAGACAACCCGACTCGGCTCAATAGAATCACAGTGCAGCTCTCCCATATAGCCAGGATCGGGATGATATAATTCAAAATTGCAAGATTATGGCCTTTCCTCTGTGTGCTGCCTGTATACACGAGAATAAAGTAGCACAAATATGGTTCCTTTATCCTCATCATTTTACTTGTGTTCACATAATGATGAGAACACAGTTTGAATTTCAAATGTCTTTTTTTGCGGTTCTCTCCACGAACAGACTTCTTACACAGCTTTCATAAATCGCCATAAGTCAACAACCTTCAAATACTAATGAGTCTGTCACAATATTTCTAATCAGACCCTGGGCAAGGTAGGTCGTGTGCAGCAGATCTACTCTGACAGTGACCTGAAGGTTGAGGTTTGTGGGACTTCCTGGACGTACAATCCTGCTGCTGTCACAAAGATCGCTCCTTCTGGCTCTGCTGTCAGCAATGCCTCTGGAGGTACATGAGAACAAGCCCCACTCACGCTCAGAGAGTATCATATTAGCTATTTGTCCTCACTGCTCCCTTTTTTGGCACCTACATAAAATCAATCTCTTTATTTCCTCATGTTTTCCCAGAGCGTTTGTCTCAGTTGTTGAAGAAGCTTTTTGAGACACAAGAGTCCGGGGACATCAACGAGGAGCTGGTTAAAGCAGCAGCCAATGGAGACCTAGCCAAAGTGGAGGACATTCTTAAGAGGCCGGATGTGGATGTGAGTGCTGCAGTCTGTTTTATTTCTTTTTTTTGTTTAAGCATCTAATGGATTTTTAATGCACCTTTTGCTGAAGACCAAATCATGTTATCATTAAACATGCCTATTAGATGTGATTATATTTATGATTGTAGCTGAAATACTGCTGGCTGTACTCAGCTTTCTCAGTCTATCTAGAAGGTTGACTTTGTCCCTTGATAGGTCTCTGAGATCCTCCCACCCATGCTTCTCTCTTAATCTGAAAAACATTAAGGCTTGCCCAGAGGAGGCACCGAACAGCTCTGGTGTGCAATACAGCACAGACCCTGATCCACTCTGTTACACATGAAGTACTACAAATCCCATATGATTGTAGATTATGTTTTGATGCAGGCCAAAGGCCAGGGAAAACACTTTTTTTGTTGTTAGAAAGAAACTCTGTACCTTTTAGAGGTTATTAAAAATCCTTACTTAAAGTCTGCAACACTGTCTTCAGTCAGAGCAGGAAAGTGAATGAGCATGTGTGTCATTGATGAATGCTGGCCAGATGCCTTGTTGGCTTTTAGTGGAATTATTTGCTTAAAGCTGAGCACACTGAGTCTGGCCAAGTGATACGGCTGCCAGGACAAGAGATGTCTCGAGATTCCCAAAGGAGTCCACATTAATATTTATGCTCTCAGTTTTTGCAGTGCTGCAGTTGGTGATGAAAGATGCATACCCAGTTGTGCATGCACATCTACACATGTGAACACACACTTATGAACCTCTCCATCTGCATTCTGTCTTATAGATCCAGATCAAACCTTTACGTGTGCGTCATGTTTTTGTGGCTCTTGATGTGGTTTCAGGTGAATGGACAGTGTGCTGGACACACTGCTATGCAGGCAGCCAGTCAGAATGGTCACGTGGATGTACTAAAGCTTCTGCTGAAACACAACGTGGACCTAGAGGCTGAGGTTGGTAGAATTTAAAAATGCTCCAGGGCCCTTCTCTGTGCCAAAAAATGCAACTAAAATATTGGAACCAGTGCTGATTGTATTTTTTCTTTAGGACAAAGATGGAGACCGTGCGGTGCACCATGCAGCATTTGGTGATGAAGGCTCTGTCATTGAGGTGCTGCATAGGGGTGGTGCTGACCTGAATGCCAGGAACAAGCGAAGGCAAACCCCATTACACATAGCAGTCAACAAGGGCCATCTACAGGTGGTTAAAACCTTGCTGGACTTTGGCTGCCACCCCAGCCTTCAGGTAATTTTTTACTGTTTTTTTTTTTTTTAACAGATTGAGAAATAAAAGGTAAAGTTTGACATAATTTTCTGAGAGTTCAGCAGCGATTAAAGTCATGGCTTACACGTTGGTAAGTAATGTAAGGTTTTCTTTTTAGGATTCAGAAGGAGACACACCTCTGCATGATGCCATTAGCAAGAAGAGAGATGACATGTTGTCAGTGCTGCTGGAGGCCGGTGCGGACGTCACCATCACAAATAACAACGGGTTCAACGCCTTGCATCATGCTGCCCTGCGAGGAAACCCCAGGTATGTAACACTTGGCTGCTGCTAATAGCTCTCACACTCTTTTGGTTATTTTGAGTTATTAGGTCATATTTAAATGGATTCTGTGGAGGCTGCATTTGCTGACAAAATAGTCCAAATAAAGCCTGGTTTAGTTATTAAATATTCAAATTCTCTTTGTGCATAGTTCTAGTCCTCAGTTAATTCATAAATGGCAAATATGAGGAAAAGGTATTCTGCATTTTTTTGGTTTTGACATATATTTTTTAATTATACTTGGCCATGATAAAAATTTTTAGTAGCAGTTCGTTAACATAATTTGTGGTGCAAAAACTGAAATCACATCCTTGCAACACAGGCAAAATCGAGCTTTGTACAAATCTATAAGCAATGTTTCTAACCAACTGCTGTGAGAGGGCAGAAGGCTTGGCGGATTTGCTAATTTGTTATTTAATCATCCTCTCTTGGAATGAAAGATGTGGGCTTACCACAAATGATGTTTAAACTAGGAGACACTCAAGCCTTGGTTTCTGCTGTAAGCAGATTTGATAATTTGGCAGCTGACTTTGGTGAGTCTGTGCTGTTTTAGCTAAAATGCCAATTTTAGGTCCTGTTTATTTGTTTGTTTGTTTGATCTTTCAAACATGATAAGTGATAAACCAAACACTTCATGCAGAAATTTCCTTCACAGACTGCCACATGAGTTTTTAAAGTGAAGCCATAAAATAGTAAAGTTCAGTTATTTTTCCTTGCTGAAGTCATTTTGTTTGTTACCTCAAATTGATTTTGTCTAGGTTGTTGGTTTTGTTTTGTTTTTCCCTTAAGGCTGCGTCTACCTCTCCAACATATGGGAGGGTATTTTAAGTTGACCAACGTTAGTGTAACTAATAGTGTTTAAAAGTAATTTATGTTTCCTTTTACAGTTGCGCTTGACTCTTGTTGTACAAGTTTGGCTTGAGGTTGCTGGTCTGCTTGGCAGCATTTTGTCTTGTTCTTGGCTAGTTATTTCTTGTCAGCAGGGGTTGCTCCACTCTGTTTTTAACTTGTGTCACAAACCAGAACATTACTAAAAGAGGATACTGTGTTTCAGACTGACAATTTGAGCTAACTGAGGTTACTTTGTTTGATATAAAAGTTAAAAAGACTAAAAGTCTTCTAAAGACAGCTGCACTTTGTAGAAAGGTTTACAGCTGTCAATGTGCTTTTTGCTGTGGGTGTTAATAAGTTTGAGCATGTGCATGCTTATCACAGGCAAATATTTAGTCCACTTTATTCTGGATTTTTCCCCCTTAACATAAGGACAAGTGGAATTAAGGTCAGAGGACTGTAACCTTAATTGTGTCACAAGCCAGGACAGACCCAACCCTCCACATCTGGTACACTGCAGAATAATTCATTCAGAGCTTGTATAGCTTTAAATGAGGTTTCAGCCACATTAATCGGTTTGTTGAAACCAACTGAAATTGTGCATATGTCCTGATGCCTGCTCAATAATCCAGGTAGATAAATTTGACAAGATTGAGTCAGGTTCTCCCAGTCATAACTGAGTACACACACACACACACACACACACACACACACACACACACACACACA